GCGACAACTGCACAGTGAGTCGTAGTGGCAAGTGCTATTTTGAACCCGTCACGCACAGTCGGTCGACGAAGAAAACCACATGATTCTAAAGGCACTGTATAAAGACGCGTCGGTTTACTACGAGCAAAATCAATGTGGTCGTGTCGTCGTCGGCATCGCGTTTTGTTATTCGCCGACCGTCGGCGGACCGGGCTGCTTTTCACTGTTGTGGATATCTCGCACTTTGCCGTAGAGCTTGGCGCGCCGTAAAACATGGACCGGCTCAATCGACTCGGCAAAGTTCTCAAGGTACCCCTGCAGCGCTAAGAGCGGAAGGATGCATACGGCGAGCGCCAATGCAATTGTGAGCCAAAACGTGGGCGCGACCGTGAGCCGTGCCCACGCTCCGTACAGATCGCTCGTCATGCCGTCGTAGATGAGCCCCGAAAGGGCGAAGAAGACGATCGACCCGACATAGCTAAACGTGACCCAGCCCGTCCAGTTGCTACACCAAATACAATTGGTCGTCGAGTACAAATACGTAGCAGTACCATGTCTCGAACGAGATGAGCAAGGTCACAATCAAGATGATGCTCATGTACGTCGCGACGCCGTCGCAGTACATGTCGATGTACGGCACACCTTGCGCAGCGTCGAGAATCACAAGGGGAAAGGTCGTGACGACGATTGCGTGGACAACGCCGATGGCGCTGATGAGCGCGGTCGTCGGAAGCGAAAAGAGAAGCTAGAAACACCCCATTGTGAAGTTGTCGCCGCCTAGAACAGACGTACGTTGGAGTTGCCGAGAAAGTAGAGCTCGGGGAATTGCTGCGCGAGCGAGTCGGGCAAACGCTTCTCCATGATGGCGCGGGCGACGACGGGCGCGGCCGTGTAGAGCATGTTGAACGCTTGAATGTACAGCCCGCTATAATACGTCTACACCAATCCTGCAAGTTGCGTGCGAGTAGACAAGGCGAAAAGCGCACCGTGCCCGAGAAGAGCGAGTACATGCCGTAGATGAACTGCGGCGCCGTGAACAAAATGTTCTTGTAAAAGAAATAGTTGATGCACTGTGTCACGCGAAAGTAGGACAAACGTCCTACAATGTTGAAATTACACGATTTTTCCAAACGCAAAATCTTACCGTGGTAGAGCAACAGACGATCCAGGTGGCGGAATTGCTGAATCGCAAAGTCGGCGCTCCGAACAGCTTGGTGTCCTTCTTGGCCCGAGACACCGACGCCGACATGCGCTGCGCGGATCATCGACACGTCGTTGGCCCCGTCACCACTAGAAGGACATTTGTACTCGATAAACGAGTCGAGACTGGATGAGAATATCCCATACACTGCCATGGTCACCCCGGGCACACTCTCCTTGACAAGCTCGACGACAAGTGCTTTTTGAAGCGGCGACATGCGGCAGACAACGACCGCCGCGCACTCGAGCGTAAACTGTAAAAAGTGCAGTCGGTTGGCGGGCATGAGCGCAAATGAAAGCGAGAAGCCGTCAATGATGAGCGCGTAGCGGGGCGCCTACGTACTCTAGTAGGAATATAACAATAGGTCTCAGAATACCTCGGCAGTCATGGGGCGTGTCTGCAGCTGCGCCAAGTTCTTGGCCAGCTCGGCGACGGTCGAACCTTGGAGCACGACCTCGACCATGTCCTTGCCAATGACACGGCACGACCGGCCAATCTCGACGGCGGTCTCGACCTTGTCACCGGTCAAGACCCAAATCTAACCGTTGAGTGCATTCACTTTCAAGCAGTCACGTCAGCGCGTACCTTGATACCCGCGCGAAGGAGGCGCGTGACGGTCTCGGGCACGCCATCTTGCAGTTTGTCTTCAATCGCTAGACAAAACAAGCTAGCTGACAAGTTGTACAATGTGTATGAAACCAACCGGTGGACGCCACGTAGATCATTTTTTGCTCAATTTCGCACACGAGCGCGTCCATACTCGTCTCGCGTCCTTCCATGAGAAGCTCGGCGGCTTTGTACCGCGATTTCCACGCGTCGTACTCGGCGTCCGTCTAGAAAACTTGAGTATCAATCTATCGAGAAGGACCTGTACCAGCACGCGTTTCGCAAAGCACAGTGTGCGAAGGCCCTCGACCGCAAATTGCTGGAGGTGGTCCAAGATGCACGCTTTGGACTGCGGCCCAAAATCACTGCAGAGATCTAGAATGGTGCAGTCGGCGCCTACAATAGCCAGTATTGTTCGTGGCATCGCCGGAAATGTGCAACATTGTCACAGTACCTTTGCAGAGCAGCTCGATCGTGCCGTTGGCGCTTCGAAGAATGACAGACATGCGTTTGCGCGTGCTGTTGAACGCGAGCACGTGGAGGACCTCAAAGGACGACGTGGGTGGTCCGCTTCCCGACTTTTCCCGAACCGTTGTCAAGAGCATCTACGAGCACAATCCGATACATAAAAATATTAGAAAGCGCCAACAAGCAAAAAAGCAAAACAAGCAAAATGGTCTACCGTGTGGTTGTTGCGACCGGTGAACGCCATGCCGAGGTCCCGCGCCGCGCGCACCAAGGCGCCTTCGTCGGGCGAGTCGGCCATGTACTGGATCGTAGACACGCCGTCGTCATTGGGCACCTTCTCGCAGAGGACCGTGTGGCAGAGCGCCATGGCTTGAATGAACGTGGCTTCGGGGGTCCCCGCCCGCTCGCCCGCTTGTTGGAGTTCGTAGAGCGACCAGACTTTGGGTTGTTGACTTTGCACCGGTGTGTTGACAATACTGGTACTAAATGTGGACATGTGCGGGAGCGTCGCTTCACTCAGTGTTGTGGTCACTGCTGTCGATGGCAACTTGGGCTCCTTTCCGCTCGGGGGGGACGGGGGGGGCGAAAACATCGAGTAGATGCGACCGGCGACGCTGCATTTTCGAAACTCCATGCGGTTCTCCGTGAGCGTGCCCGTCTTGTCCGAGAAGAGATAGTTGACTTGCCCGAGCTCTTCCATGAGTGCGGGCGTGTTGGCGCTGGCGCCGTCGCCCTAAGTCCATTCCTTATTTTGAAAGATTGATACACACTCGATACAAAACATACGTTGGGGAGCTTCATGTGCAGATCCCACACGACAAACTTGGCATGCAGCGCCTTGACAATCTCGACGCTACCATCAAAATTCACATGACGGCAAAATCGGACTGGGGCCGTCTACCTCACAACGAGCGAGCTTGGAATGAACGTGTTGAGGAGCACGACAAAGCTCAAAAACGTGAGCACGCCCGCAACGAGGTCGGTCTCGGCTTCGCCCTCGCCCGTCACAAAAAGCGCTTCGAATGCGGTCTCGGACGTCCAGAGGTTGTGGTAGATGGCCCCTGCGACGCACAAGGCGACTTGGAAAATGAAGATAAACACCACGATCTGGTTGACAATGCTGTCGACGTGACTCAGCTTGTGGTGCGGACGCTTGGCGTTGAGCATCATCTTGGTCTCGGCGCCTACGCCACGTCCACCATATCGCAAAATGAAAAAATGAAAAAATGAAAAAATGAAGAATATAAAAATATAAATGAAAAAATGTGAAAATGTACAATCAAAATGGCACGCACCCGTATAGACGACGCAAAACAAGATCGACTTGGTGTTGCGCAGCGTTGACCCGCGTGGCAGCAGCTGCTGCTCGTCCAACGCATAGACATTCGAACCGATGGAGAGCGTGCCGGTAAACTTGTACAAGTCGACGTTCGGCGGCTCGCACTTGACGTGAAAGGCCGGCAACGGCGACTGGATCGAAAAGCTCATGGTCGCTGGCAGCGCAATGCGCGTCTTGAGGTTGGCTTCGCCATCGAGATTGCTCGTATCAATGAGGCAGGCACCTACACCCATGATGCCATCGTCAACTGCCAGTACGATATGGCCGCTCCACCATTTTCTTCGGACGTTGCAAGCAAGAGACCGTCGGCGGGAAACGACGCCTTGTCGTGCACCTCGACCATGTCCCCGACCTATATAAAGCCTTAGGATGAAGCGAGCGTTCTAGCTACCAAGATATATCCTACGCAAATGTCCTGCCACGTCACTGACAAGAGCTGGCCTTTTCGAAGCACTTGGATCGGCGTCGTGTTGGTCTTCTCATCCAGCACGTGGCGGTTCTACAGCAGATTGATATAAACTCCAACATGACAAACGTACGTGGTCTTCGATCGCCTCGCGAAGGAGGACGATGCCGACGACAAGGACGAGCGGCGTGACAGCGGTCATGGGACCGACGGGCGATATCGCCGACCACGACTGCAGCACGGCAATGATCAAAAAGTAAAAGTTGGTCGACTAAAGCCAATCGAGTAGAAAAAAGATGGGAAAACAGAAGCGACGTACGAGGCGAAACGCAAGGTACAAGGCGACGGGAAGGAAGTTGAGGAGCGTGTACTTGGACGTGCGCATCTGGTTGGACGCAAACTTGCCCGGCGCCGCGGGCTCCACGACGCGGAGGTCCATGGCAAAGTGCAGTTTCACCCAAGCTAAGATTGGCCTGTCTACCGGTTTCAAACCGGTCGACGGCCACGGTTGTGCCAACCGGTTGCCGATTACTAAAATGCTGCATGCCGACAGTGCCACGTCATGGCCGCATCCGTGTGGCCTGTAGACCCACTACATCTAAGCACCGTAGACCCTTCCGACGTACTAGTACTGTGCAGCATTCGTCTCGCACCACAGTGTACGTACGAGCGTCAAATGGCTTCGTGCCCCTTGGCGCGATGGCCATTGATGTGATCCTTCCGGGTCGGTCACGGATTACCATCGTTGAGGTTTTTGTTGACACAGGTTCTTCCGCCTCGAAACGACCAGCGTACCGCAGCGCACACGTCATCCTCTTCCTTCCAACGTACTCGTCGAGCAAAGGGCAGAGCTGCAATATAGGTATGCGCGAAAGATGTATAGCCACTGCGTGAATAAGCTGTCGAGACGAGTTGCGTCGTGGCTTGCGTCTACGAGTACGCTAAGAGCGAGTGAGTGCACTTGGTCGTGGGCACCACCAATGCCACCTTACACGGTCACGCGTGGTACGACGATGGCGCTCGAGAGGAATATATATATATATATAGCGTCGGATGATTAAAATAAGATCTGGTTCGGGTGGCACGCCTTTCCTTTGGGGCGGGTAGAGGTGTGAGCGGGGCTTACCGCGGGAGGCGTCGGCGCGCGACGGCGCCTTGTCGCGTCGCCACGTCGTCCTTGACGGTCGAGAGCGCTGTTCGCGTCGGCTGTAGCGCACCACAGGGCGGGCTAATGTGGTGCGCCGCCGCGTCCGCCCCTCTGTCCGTTGACTGGAACGTCCGAGGTTTCATTCTACACGGTAGAACAGGCGTTTAGCCCGGCGACGGCGAAGGAGGTGCGGAAAGGACGGACGGTGTTGACGGAAGGCTCTCGGTCGCTGGTGTCGCTGGCCTCGGCGACGGCGGCGGAAGGTCCGCGGCCGGCGACCGTGGCGGTGTGCTGGGCATCGAGCTTGGTGACACGGGGCTTTTGCTCGGTTGCGGCGTCGCAGGTGGGCTGGCGGTCATGGCATCCGAGACTGTGCGTTGGCTATCGTTCTCTTGCGCATCGGCGGCGGCGGCGGCGGCGAGCTCGTCGTCAAGGGACCGAACGACGGCCACGGCGACGCGCTCCTCACTGGCAGCGTCGACCTCGTCGTCCTGTGGCACGAGCGCGAGCCGCGGGATCTTGCGGATGGTCTGCCGCTTGCGCTTGCGCGGTGCGCCGGGGCACTCGATCTCCTTGCGCACGCGCGGAGGGCTGGCCTCGCCCGAGCTGTACCCGTCGGCCTTGCGCTTCATCGGAACACTTGCAGCTGAGCGGTGAAACAGCCGCTTTTCACACGCGTGTATTCGAATTCTCGCGTGTGGGATTCGAATTTTCCAAGCTCTACCTTTATATTGCATATTTTATATTCCCGTTGTATGCAAAAACAAAGTGCAACGGTCACATCTCCAATATCAATATCAATACTGTGTTCACAAAATGCATTTTAACATCTCACATCAAGCGTTTCAAATATAATGTTTGCAATGGACCCTCTTAAACTGGATATGTGTATAGTATACTCAGCGCAAGTGAATATTCGACTTTCTATCAAATGCAATGGTCCTCATTACCGTCACTCCGACACCAACACTCTGCAATATCTTGTATCTTGAAGCGGCGCACGCACCATGGACACGGGCGATGTACGTGGCAGGCTGGACGCGGGCGAAGTCAACGCGCTACGTAGAGCGAGTTTAGCATCGACGACGTCCTGCCCATCTCCAAGAACGTACTTTGTATCGTATGCGCTTCGGCATGCTGCATACGCGTCGTAGGCGATCGAGGCGACGCTCAAGGACACCGTGTACAACCGCAAGAAGGTCAACGACTGGACCAACTCGCTCGTGGCGCTTGTGCTCAATGGCCTCCAGAACCTCAACAAGCCGTTCAAATACGCGGGTAGCCTCTATCTGCCTGTCCAACGTCCTATTGTATATGGCTAGTCACGTGCCTCATCATGCAAAAGACGGGCGCCGGCGTCGCGACCGCCGCCGCTTGCTACTGGGACACGGTTCTCGACGGTACGTCCGCCTATGTGTGGTTTCATTCGACAAGCTAAGGGTGCTAGGCTACTGCACGGTGCTGTGGGAAAACAGCACCATCCAATGCGTCGTAACCGTGTACGGCGCTGGCATTTCGCCGTCCGTGAGCAAGCACGGCGAGCACTAGGTAGTTGCGATCGCTCTGTAGATACATTGACCACACAACCGCATGGTACGCGTCGCCAACACAGTTGTAAAAACCAAAAAAAACAAAAAACAAAAAAAACAAAAAAAACAAAAAATGGTTTTTCCCGGTATTGAAGTCATGGATACCCTGTTGGGCTCATGTGAGCTTGGCCAACAGACCGAGGCACGCATGCGCGAGCTCGGCAATCTCGGGCGCGGTCGCCAGAAACTTGCGCGCGACGTTTTCGATCGGCGACGACAGCAAGAGCAGCTGCTGCTCGTACATGGCTTGCTTGCCCGAGGCTTCGACGTCTACCGTCGCCATTGTGCGCACGTACTCGAGGCACGACTGGACGGCAAAGAGGTGGCGGTGGACAAGCTCCGGCGCGTCGCACTCGATCAAGATCGGCCCAAAGGTCTCAATCGCCTTTTGCTCCAGAAGCACAGCGCAAACCTAACCCGATCTGTCACGCCACGTCATATATTCGCAACGAACGTACGACGGGGTACTGGCTGACCATCGCGATCGCTCCGGACGCGGCACGGGCCGTCGCCAAGTCTTCGTCGGCTTCCTCAAGCGACGCAAACGCGAGCCAGAGACGGACCTTCTCGGGCTGGCAAAAGATCTTTTCGAGGACTTCGTCCGAGGGCAGGAGGTTCGTGAGGCACTCGGTGGCCGCGCGGCGCACCATCGTATGGTCCGAAAACTGCAAATATTGAATCGTCGTCAAGCCATTGTTGGAGAGAATGCTACGGCCGACATTGGACACCTTGTCATTTCACGACAAACACGTACCGGGCCTTGGTTTCATCCGAGACGCTCGCCACATTGGTAAGCGCCATGAGCGCTTCAAACTGCATCAAGTTCGACTCGGCCTTGAGCAACTCCATGAGCGGGTAGATGGACGAGAGCAGCTGCGACGCCGGGATCAAGTGCGGGTTGGTCGTGATGAGGATCTTGGCCACCGCGTGCCGGGCGTGGGGCGTCGAGAGCGAGAGCATGGCGGAGAAGAGGCCGCCTTGCACGAGCTTGCCACGGCCCTCAACGTACTCGGTCGCATGCAGTACACTACGGACACTCGACTGTCGCATACAGTGTTTACGTGGCTCAAGTACCTCTGGGTTGCTTGGTCGAGGATCGCCGGCGACCCCTTGCACTTGAGTAGCTGCAAAAGCGTCAGAATACTCTGCGAGTGATCGAGCACCGCTGCGATGCGCTTGGTCACTTGCTCGACCGAGTCGCCGTCGTCGAGCTCGGACTTTTGCTTGAGAGCTTTCTGCAGCTCTTCGTACTGCTCGGGCGTGAGCTCCGAGTTTTGCATCTTTTGGCGCTTGAGGTGCGACTCGGACGTGAGCAAGTGAAAGAGAATGTACGAAATGCCATACAGCAGATTCGACGGTGTCGACGTGGCCGAGATGTCGGTCAAAAGCGGCTCCAGCGCTCTGGGCCGACGCACCTAGCGTTCACCATGTCGTATCTCAAAAAGCAGCCAGCCGTACCAGCGCGTCCTTGACCGGCGTAAACGTAATCAAGTACGAGAGCGCTTCGACCGCACGCTCCCGCGCCGTGGACCCAACGATCGACGCCGTCACGGGCGCCTACTCGCACCGTCACCACCCTTCGTAGCCCTTGAGGACGTACGTTGTGCACGGCCTCGAGGAGCGAGAGCACTTGGTTGATCATAATGTCGCCGACGGGCGTCGCCGGGTCAAATGTCTTGTCGACAAGGCTCATCTTGACGACCGCCGCGAGCGCAGCCGACTGCAGCTTGAGCTGGTGCGGCTCCATCGAGCACTGCAGCAACTTCCTATCCAAAATCCACACTGGTCAAATACAGGTGTATCACGCCGACATACCCGAGCTCCATGCGCAGCTCGATCGGGATCGCGGCCATGCCAGCCTCCGAACCTAAGAATGGTCATCTCCATGTCGAGGCAATTCTTCAATGGAAAGTCGGTACCGGCAATGTACGCGACGAGGTCCATCACAAGCTCTTGGTACTTGAGGCTGTGGGCAGCAGACTTTTGACGCAGCAAGACGTCGCTGAGCTGCTTCAAGAACGCAGGATGCGACTGCATCATGTGCGCCCCGAGCTTGGCGTTGGCGAGGAAGACACCCGAGAGCAAGACACACCCGGGCGACGCGTCTTCCATGGTCGATGCACCGACGACCGGGTCGACGCAATACTCGCGGACAATACGCTCCATCTCCGACTCGGAAAAGAGCGCAAGCAGCTGTGAAAACACCATCGAAATCGACGACACGACGCGGTCGCGCAGCAAATTGCTATGAAAAGGCAGCAAAATCGGTGAAAAGACGGGAAAAGTTGGACGACGTACGCTTGCGAGAGGAGGAGCGAGAAGACGCCCATTTCTTCCATCCAGAGCGCCATTGTCGATGCGTTCGACTTGACCTGGAGCACGTGCTTGAGGAGCACGTCGAGCGTGGCCTGCTGCAGCACGTCGGTCGACGTCCGGAGGCCCTGGAACGTCGCATCGAGGAGCTGCCGCACCGGCGCATGCGCTGCCTGGATGTCGTTCGAGACAGTCACAAGGTGCGCTGCAAGCACGCCCGTGAGCGACACGACGGCTGCGATGAGACCGATCGTAGCGTCGTCCGCGTCGGCGGGCACGGGCATCGGGACCAAGGCAGCGAGGAGCGTGGCGTCGATCGCTGCATAGACCGCCGCGCCGTGGTGCTTGGCCATGTTGGCCAAAATGCGCAGGCCGCGCGCTTGCAATGAACGGTCCTTGGCGTCCACGACACACGTCTGCCAGAGCATGCGCTCGCCGCCGAGGTCGAGGACGTCGCGGTAGATGGACGGTGCGTTCTCCGGCGACTGGTGCTCGAGGAACGCCAGCGCGTCGTTGGACGGAAGCGCCTTCAACGCCTTTCCAACCCCCGAGGCGTCCTTCCGAGCCTTCTCTTGCAACGTGCGCAGCAGTGCCTGGGCGGGCTTGTTGCTCGGCGAGAGCTGCAGCACGGCCTTGAGGTCGCGCGCACTGGCCGCGAGCTGGTCCGTCTCCATGTACGCTTGCGCGCGGCGAAAGAGGAGCTTCTCCATGATGGTGTCGGGCAGGCGCGAGGCTTGCGCCTTGGCGAGCGCGTCGTCGACCGACGAAATCGCAGCCGCAAAGTCGCGCAGCTTGAGATGGCAGAGCGCAATGTTGCTCAGCAAGGTGCACTGCATCTCATTCGGTACATCGGCACAGGCCAGCGCGCCCTTGTAGCTGCCAACGGCCTCGGCAAACGAGCCGCGCTGGAAGAGCGCCGTCGCCCGGTCCTTGTGGGCGTCCATCGTGGCACTTGAAATGACTACGTCCGGATACGATGCGCACCAACCTACCAGAAGCGTCTTTGTCCGGAAACATCCTATAGCAATATCAAGTCTAATAGAGTCGTTCTTGGTAAATCTCCCTATATTGAGACTCTCAGGATAATATGGTTTAAGGGACTTGGCCGTGGACGACATCGGCCGTCCTCGAAATCGGCGCCAATGCGCTCTCCAGTCGCCTGCAACGAGCTGTACCAGTGTGGACGCGACCGACGCTGCCTCCAATGGGCAGGCGCAAGCTGTCCCGATACTGCCGCCTGCAAGGCCGCGCCGGCGAAGAACCACTGCCCGGACCCAGGGCGCGGACCGCCACACCGTCGCGTCTCTGGCGACGCCTTGGCTCTGTGGCCAGCGATGCAGCCGCAGAGGCTCGAAAATGCTACCGATAGGTCGAAGCAACCAAACAAAGGATGGGGCCTTGTCAGGTGTGGTGTGTGCCATGGCTGTCTGCTGCTGGTGCCAGGATGCAAAGCTCGAGGAGGTTGGCCGCCAGCACCGAACTTGTGGCGTGCGGCACGCAGCAGCAAAGCTCAGCTGGGTCAAGATCGTACGTAGCCACGTCACATTCAAGGTACAGCGTGTTGCTCATCCGTTAATCATCATCGTTGGCTGATAGAGGAGGAGGCGTCTTCGTCTTCTTAGCTGCTTACTGCTTGGCGTCCAACGAGGCCGCGCCGGAAATAATTTCGATGAGCTCGGTCGTGATGCGCGACTGGCGGGCCTTGTTGTACACGAGGCGGAGGCTCGAGATCAAGTCGGACGCGTTGCTCGACGCGTTCTCCATGGCCGTCATGCGCGACGACTCCTCCGACGTGTTCGACTCGAGCATGCCGTGGAAGATGGCGGTCGCGAGCTGGAACTCCTTGAGGTCGAGGAGGACTTCCTCCTTGTTGTCGGGCTCGAGCTCATAGTCGGCGTACGTCTCGGGGTCCGTGTTGATCGTGCGGATCGACTGCTGGTACGAAATGGCCGACTGGAACTTGTTGAAGATCACGTGGAGCTTCTCGTCGGCCGGCGTCACGGCGAGCACGACTTCGGCGAGCGCCGACGCCTTGGCAAAGTTGGTCGGGTTGATCCACGTCTCGGTGGCGTTAGCAATGATGTACTTGCCGTGCGTGCGGCGAAGCTGGCCACGGCCCTTGTCACCAATCGAGAAGATGCTCGAGTTGTCCGTCACATCGTTGATCTGGAGGCGGACCGCCTTGGCAATGTACGAGTTGCAACCACCGCAGAGACCACGGTCCGACGTGATGGGCACAAACGTGTTGTGGCCTTCCTTGAGCTCCTCGGCGGGCACGTAGCCATCCTTCTCGTAGATGCGAAGCTTCGAGTTGGTGTTTTCCAACCACGTCTACAAGTGCATGAGAGGCCACGTCGTGGCATCAACGCACGTACGGCGAACGGGCGACCGTCGTTCATGCGACGCTCGGCGCCACGCATCTTGGCGGCCGACACCATCTTCATCGACTTGGTGATCTTGGCGATGTTGGACGTGGCGTTGATACGCATGAGAACTATACATCGCCATGAGCCACCTGCATCACGCGCGCGCCATTGCACGTACTCTGCTTCTCCGTGGCCATGCCACGGGCGCCAGCGACCCTACGAAGCAAGGCCATCATGAGCGTCTACCTCGCCGACCTCCATGGAGCGTACTTGATCGCGGCTACGTTGCGGGACACCAAGGACATGTTCGTCGGTACCAGTGATGAAAAACTCAAGTGCCAGCCACCAAGTCAGCTAGCAGCCTCATTTTCCATCGACCAATCAGACGCCGCGGAGCACGCGATTGCGCGCCTGTGATTGGACAAAATGCCGAAATTCCAGCGCCCACCTGCAGTCATTCCGTACACGACCGTACATCCCGTACATTCGCGTTGCCACGTATACGAACATTAGCGCGCCGACGCTTCCGCACGTCCGAGGTCCTTCTCATGCCATGGCTCTTGCTGGTATAGCACTTGCTTGCATGTACCATGTCCTTGGGAAGTAGACGTTATCGAGTCAAGCCGCGTCATTCCTACAAAATGCGCTGGCCCGATCTTGGCAGCCAAAAGCAATTTCCGAAAGTAGTCGGTGAGACACCAGCCAACTTCGCACGCGTCGCCTCCAAGCTCTAAGCTTTTGCCAGCCGCGACGAGCGAATCCTCGCTACTCCAACAAGTGCACTGGCGAAGGACGTGGGTGATGACGGCAGGAAGCAGTCCACACCGCGGTTATCCGGACAGAACGTTGTATCCGGACAGAACGTTGTATCCGGACGTTGGGTACCTCGGACGATTCGATTTGGGTCGGCCACTTGTTTCAGCGCAATACGTGGCCGCTACGATAGCAGCCTATTGCAGCCCAGCTGTGGGCTATCTAGAGCGCGCATGTGCATGCGTCGTCCTGGCTGTGGGCTGTGGCGAGGACCCTGCACGCGCCGAAGCCTGCCGATGTACGGTGGTTTGGCCGGTTGTACGATGTACGCGAATAATGTACGTACGTGGAGGTTTCCGGATAATGCGGGTATTTTCCGGATGCGGCGATCGGTTTCACACGCGATCTTCAGTGCAAAGATCGATGGGCAACGCGCAGGCGCAGGTCGGGCGGACGGGAACCATCGGCCGCCATGAGGTCGAGGTCGTCAAGTACCTCGGCGAAGGCGGGTCGTCCTTCATCTTCCTCGTCAAGGACGCGCGGTCGGGCCAGCCCTATGTGCTCAAGCGTGTCGTCGCCAACGACGGGGTAGGCGGCTGCTGTATGCGAGTAGGGCTCATGGCATGTAGCCGTCCATGGAGCTCATCAAGAGCGAGATCGCACTCCAGCAGCGCTTCAAGCATGCAACGGTCGTCGAGTTTGTCGACTACGCCGAGCGCAAGGAGCGCCATGAGACCGAGGTGTATATCCTCATGGAGTACTGTCCCGGCGGCCATTTGTACGAAAACATGCGCAAGATGGGCGAGAAGCGCTTTAGCCAAGACGAGCTGCTCACGACGTTCAAGTCGCTCTGCGTGTACGTAGCCTCGTCGATCGATTTCTCGATCCAGCGAATTGTCATGGGTGTAGGCCGCTGCGGCTATTGCACCACCACGATCCGCCGGTCGCGCACCGCGATATCAAGCTCGAAAACTACCTCCTTGCGAAAAACAACACGTACAAGCTCTGCGACTTTGGCTCGTGCGTCGTGGGCCCGCGCACGCTGGAGACCAAGGTACGCGATCGCCCTCGGATTCCAAGAGCAGTGACCGTTCTACGGCCCAGGCCGACCGCAATGCCGAGATCGACATGGTCGAGAAACGCACGACCGCCATGTACCGGTCGCCCGAGCTCGCCGACATTGAAGGCACGGCCATGTTTGGCGCCGCGCGTCTCACTGAAGCCGTCGACATTTGGGTAATCCTGATACAATATCAATTCTTCAAGTGTCGCTCCGTAGGCGCTCGGGTGCGTCCTCTTTAACATGGCGTTCTTCCGGCCGCCGTTCCCGCCCGAGGGCCTTCGCACGTCCAAGTACACGGTGCCGCCCAACTCGTACTCGAGAGATCTGCCCGTGCTTATCAAGCGCATGCTGGCCGAGGACGTTGACGAGCGCGCGACGATCGACGACGTCATTGCGTGCGTCGACGCGATGCTCGCCGACAAGCCGTTGCCCAAGAAAGGGTCGGCGCCGCCGCCCGCGGTGGCCAAACCGGCGCCAACGACCGCCAAGCCGCCGTCGCGGACGTCGTCGGGCATCCAAGTGGCTATCACGCCCAAGCCAGCGCTCGCGGTCGACTTGATGAGCGCGCCGCCGAGTGGGTTTGCCGACTTTGCCAACTTTTCGCCATCGAAAGGAGGCGGATTTGATGCGTTGAACACACCCGCGCCGACAGCACCGCTGCTGACGCCCCAGGACCCGTTTGGTGCGCCACCGCCGCCGCCCAACAAGGTCGTCGATACCTTTGGCTTTATCGTAAGTCCCACGAACGCAGCGCTGCCAGAGAAGCAAGCGCAGGCCCGCGACGCCTTTCGCGCGTTCGAAGAAGTCGACAAGCCACCGACGATGCCGTGGGCAGCGCACGGAAATGCCAACCCAATGTCGCCCATGGGCTTGCACAACCTGCAATCCCCTACCGCCAACTACAGCTACAACCAGCCACCGCCGGCGGGCTACGGTCAAGGTCAAGCGCCGCCGATGGGCTACGGCCAGCCACCTCAAGCAGGCTACGGCCAGCCACCTCAAGCAGGCTACGGCCAGCCACCGCCCATGGGGTATGGCCAGCCGCTCTCGTCTGGTGGCATGGCGCACCCGCCGCAACAAGGCATGCAGCAGCAAGGCATGCAAGCCCAAGGCCAAAGCAACCACAACTGGAAGGCGTCGTACGAGTTCAAGTTTTAAATCGCTGCATAAGACAATAGTGTCTTGGACTATCGACTTAGAGCTCATCGTGGCCATTGGCACGTGGCAGGTCGGCGCACGCCAGTGGCGTCTTGAGCTTGGCCGTGTAGACACACGTCGAGGGCTCTTCAATCGCGTAGAGCTCTTCCTTCTCGTGGCACTCGATCGCGACCGTGAACGACCGCTCGGGGCCATTCCAGCACTTGGCACCGCCCGTAAACTTGAGCTCGTGCGCTGTCGCATCAAGCGGCTGCATGGTGCTACACAATGGAGCTCTTTACAACGTAGTGTCTTGAAGAGATAAGGATACCCGAGCGAGATGCTGTCTTGGGTCGCGCCGCCGAAGAAGCACATCTTGTACGTGTACTGCCCCGACGTCGCCGACACGCACGCGTCCTTGACCGCGAGGAAGATGTCGTCGACGCCATAGCTCTCGTCCAGCACAGTCTGCGCCTTCGAGAGGTCGTGGGTGGCAGTCGAGAGATCCCTCTCCGCCTCGGCCAAGGCATCGCGGGCTTCCTTGGCTCCTATGTCCGCCTTGCGCATGAGTCCTTGCATATGGAAATGCATAATGGCATCTACCAGGTCGCTCGGTCGCTTCGTCACTGGAAACAGTCTCGAAGAGCGATGTGATGGGCCGGATCGGCGGCGTCGGCGTCGGCAGCGCTTCGAGCTCCGGCGGCACCTCGTCGGCCGTCGACGCCTCGCGGAGCTTGCGGCGCTCGTCGTTGACCGTGTTGAGACGCTCGACCTCGGCGCGATGGGCCTCGTCGTCCTTAATGTACTTGGCTTCGAGCGCCTCGATGCGAGACGACGACGGTGCACCCGCGGCCCGGAGCGCCGTCAGCACCTCGTCCTTGGAGTAGAGCTTGAGCGAGAGGTCGATGATGACAGACGAGAGCTGCTCGGTTGTCAAGTCGTAGAGACCCAACGTTGCAGCTACGTTCCGACGCGAGCGTTCGGACGCTTGGCGGCGCTCCTGGAGTTCCAGCGCTTCTTCCGCTGCCTTGACTTTCGTGGCGGCGGCGACCTCGGCCTCGAGCTTTCGTTTGGTCGCCTCCAAGTCGGTGCGCTTGCGGTAGTGCTCTTCTTTCGATTGTTTGGCTTTGGCCACCAAGAGCTGCCGCGCCGCGCGCCCGCCGGCTTCGGCGGCGTGCTTGGTCGCCATCTTCTGGTCGTACGCAGCCTTGAGGGTCGCACATGTGTTGCTGCATGACGCAGGCGCAGCGTACTCGTCGCTACCGTCGCAGCAATCTAGTACGAGGTTCTGTGAGAGTGGCATATCGCAGGATACGCACCGCAGATGCCATCGTTGACCCGCGATGTCGGGATGTCGGACGCAAAGTACCCTTGGTTCAAGCAGTGGAAGAGGACGCTTGTGTGCGAGCACGCGGAGGTGCCAGGCTCGTCGCTGCCATCGGCGCAGTCGCAAAAGTCATCGTTGACACTCGAGATCGGCAACGACTTGTGCCCGTCGTCACAAGTCAACTACAATAGACACGTGGCATCGTGAGGACGCGACCTTGGATTCGCATGCCATCGTCGGCGGCCGTACCGTGGAGGCAGCTGCGACCTTAGTACGCAGCTCGGGCGTCAGGCCATGCAGGCTCGAAGGGGCGGCGCCCGCTGCGAGCGCGAGGACGGCGAGGACGGCCAGTCGGAGCATTGCTGTCCGCAAGATCGAGGTGCAAATACTTTTATTCAACCGACGTCGCGGATTTCTTTATCATTAATTTATTCACTTACAAACACCAAGCTATTATTTTAGAAAAGCATGACATACAATACTATGCGGTTTTTACGTTGTGGATAAATACACGCCATTTTCAAGGCTGGACGCTGAGTACCTCGCTGCCCATGACTCCAAGCGCCTCCATCTCGCAGTACAAGCGTGCTCTCATACGATTTTAACAGTAGGTATGGCAGACGTCGTAGCGACCGTTGGCTAAAGAGTATGGCAGCAGGCACGTGGCGCATTGAGTGGCGTGCAAATAGACTATTGCATGCGTCCGGTTCGACAGTCGTCAAACTCAACAAACCACAAGGATGATCCGAGCCAAGGTCCTGCCCGAGGTGCTCCGCCAAGGCCTCGGCGATGGCGTCGCCGCCATCCTCCTCATGACCGTCGACGGCGCGCTCCTCGGGTCTGTCGGCGCCATGAGCCCCTCGTCGACGCCGTCGCATGCGTCGGGCGTCGAGCCGGCGGTCGATGTCAAGGTCGTCGGCGCCATCGCGGCCAACGTATGGGCCGAGTACGAGCACTCGGCCAAGGAAATCTTTCCGACCGAGGACCTCCGCGTGCTCTTCCTCGAGTTCCAGAAGGACAAATGCTTGGCGGTCACGTCGGCCAGCGCCGGGTACCTCCTCTGCGCGTACTCGGACGGGAAGGCGCCCATGGGCCTCCTCAAGAAGAAGCTCGAGACGCTGCAGCCGTACCTGAAAGAAGCCTTGGAGAAGATCCAAGTCTAAGCCGCCGCACAATACATACTACGTTTACCCGTCTTCCACGATGCAGTCCGAGACAGCTCGCATGAGCTTTGTGGCCACTCGCCCCTGCCCGTCAATACCCTGCCAGGGACAACCCTTGAGCAGCCTAGCAGCGGCGCTGCCAAGCCATCGTCATGTATATAAGTTCTCGGTTGCCCGGCCTTTCGGGCGCATTCAGACTCTCGTAGCAGCAGCTGCTGCAAAGGCTGCGAAGGAGGCAAGTATGTAGAATGCATCCTGGCCTTTTTCATCGCAGCACTCTGGTGCTCAATTCGATTGAAAGAAAAGCCCACCCAGATGTGCCCAGATGTGGTGCGATCACGCTCCAGATTTCGCAATCGGCAATGTTGTCGTCGTCGTCCACGCCAGAGCATGCCTACAACGTTGCAGCCATTGATTGATCCACAGCCTTGGATTTGTGCTGAAAGGAATGCAGTACCGTTCTCGGTACTTACAAAGGAAACGAATTTGGGACGTTGGCCGCACGACGCAAGGCTGGTCTGTGTACCAAGGAACATAAATATAGTCCTTGGTATAACATACTAGTATCTTGATTGCTCGAAGGTCTTGCCAAAGCCTGCGGGGCCGGATCGATAGTACTGCGTGTGGCTTGTTGATACCGACTTCCTTCGTATCATCTCGTAGCGCGCCTTGCACATCGCACATCGATGTCTCGAGGCCGACTCGTCGCCGCGGAGTGTTCTGCATGCTTCTCAGGAATGACGTCTCTGACCCTTGACCCTCTACCTATTCTCATGCTACACCTTGCGCACTGCCGACAGCAACACCACACGACACGACCAGGATAAATACAATCTACAAGAGGGTGCTTACGAAGTCTGCAAGACGTGGACGAGCGACTGCAAGCGCACGCGGTGGCTTCTTGGGTCTTCGAGGCTTGCAATGACGTCGTCGATTTTGAACGGTGCGATCGCGTCGCCTTCTTGGTGGGCGTGGTCGACGAGCTCGTGCACAAACTGTCGGACGTCGTCGGGGTCCATCTCGCCCGTCCCGTCATCGTAGAAGATGTCGGCCAAGTACGCGTAGAGAAGACTGCTTTGGTCGACCGCGTCCCAATGGACCTTGACGTGCATTGGACTGGACATGGCGGTGGTGGCCATACTTGGCAAACTTGAAAATGATGGCCAACGGCAACGGCAATCTGGCGCCACGATTGTGATTGGCTAATGCGGCGGCCAATCGAATGCGCGCCGATCGATCTACCGAATACGATATCCACATGGCGACGCAATCGCCACGTTGTCGCAGTCCGAGTTCGCAGCGAAAGTTTATGACGTGGAGGGTGCTAACGTGCACCTGTAGCATGGGTGCGCAACCTCCCGAAAGGCTGGTTGTAGCGAACTCTGCGGCCTTCGATGGCGTCGCCGACGAATCGATATACATCTGATCGCACACCATGCACGGTTGGGGCAAATGCGATAGGGCACATCTCGCAATCGTCGTTCGCGTCGTCGGGCAAACTCTAGTTTCTTCTCGCTGATTTCGTTCGTTTGGCAGCTGGGCGTTTCTCATGCAACTGCTAGAGCGATGCGAAGCACCGTTGTCATGCTCGTTGAAGATGCATTGTGAATGTTTATGGAGCCAGCAACCACCGTGTAATCGACGCGGGAGTCAATTCGCATGATCAATTCCTCTTGATTGCACATATTGCTTTGAAAATGAGGGCGAATGCTAGTTCCAAAAGCCTCATCGATCGCGCAATGTCATGGCACAGCGCAATCCAACCGTTGTGGCGGCAACATCTTCATTCCACCGCGAACCAACCAGTACGACGAGCCATTTCAGATAACGGGTCGGGTCGTTAATAGAATACTCCACTCGAGTGCAAAATGTTCGAATGCACTTGGCCATGTCTACCTAGCACGACGAGCTAGCACGACACAAGCAAAATGACAGCCACGTCTACTGAAGCGGTCTGTCTTTTTCGCGGGCGCAAAAACGCGATTGCTCTCGAACGATCTTGTGCATTAGTCGTGTGAGAGCAACTTCAAGCCAACCGTGGGCTGTCGTTGACGTCATCGAAAGTAGTGTGGCACTCACCAATCCGTTTGTGCCCTTTGCATAGTAGCCTCGATCCACTCGCAACCTTAATGAAGTAGCAACTACCAATCACAGAGAGCAAACGAATACTAGTTAGTAGATAGTGTACACTGTTAGATAGATAGTTGGTGCGAGCGGAATGAGCAAAGTCTCAGTCGCTGACGAGGAGGCCGAGCTCTTCGATGAGCGTTAAAAGACGCACGTAGCCTGGTCGACCGCTCTCGCTCGCAAGCGCTTCGAACCCGTCGTCGACGTCGAACGCGTCCATCTCGTTGCCTTCGTAGGCCACTTGGTCGGAGAAGGCGCGGACGAATGCCATGACGTCGGCCTTGTTGAGAAAGAGGTCGCCGCCACCAAAGTAGACGTGGGCAAAGTACGGGTAGAGCGGGCTGTGGCTGTCGAGGCTGTGCCAATCGAGCACCGGCAGCAAACTAGAATTGTTGTCGTCGAGGACGGGCGGTGCAACGCTCATGGTCTGGCCCATCATGCTACTCGACTTGCGCGGTCGCGGGAAACTTGAATTGTGACGGATATCGGCGCTGGCCATTTGGCGTGCGACACTGCGAGCGGGTACATGAGAAAGAATCGAGAAAGGACCATTGATTTGTGGCATTTGGGCTACGCGACGGCATCGCGTCATCACAACGTCGGACCACAGCACGTTGTTGTCGAGGTTACCGCTCTGGAGACCATCACGGGCAAAGGCTGACGTCTTCGGGCTATTCGTATTGGTCGTAGGACTGCCATCATAAACTACAACGCCACAAAAATACACCAGGACGACCATGTTCTCCGCGTGGCTACATGGCTTTGTACGAGCAAACATCGTTTAAGGCCAGCGAAGTCGGCGACGAGGCAGCGGAATTCACTTCTGGACCATGCGGTGGAGTCCCGTCGAGTGCACTGGCACGTCTTAAACAGACGTTCTGGGTCCGACGACAACCACGCAATTCAATTATGTGTTTTTCTTCTCTATTTCCTGATTCAAAGGCCAATTCGAAGCTAAATAGTGGTTGTCGTTGTCACTTTGTGTGGCGTCACGTCCCCGACGGGCGCCATTTCTACTCGGACTGCACGAATACAACTAGCTCTTCGACGAGCGCATATAAATGAATGTGTCCGCTCGAAGACAAGGCGCAGAGACCGGCGTCGACGTCGAAAAGCTCGAGCGACACGCCTTCATTGGTGCAAAATGCGACGAACTCGCGCACAAACTGATGCGCTTCGGCCACCTCGAGCGTGAGGTCCTCGCCGCCGTAAAAGAGGTGCACCAAATACCCGTAGAGGGCGCTGGACCGGTCCAAGTGGTTCCACGACGCAGTGCTGCGCGGGAGGAGCGCGTTGGAAGGAGGCGTCGCCGTCCGTGACATGGCGGTTGGAGATGTGCGGTACTTAATGGGAAGTGAGCCGCCGCTCGGATCTTTCTCGGTGTCATACGTGATTGGCTGAAAAATATCGGCGGCCAAACATGATCCAATCAAATGCGCGGAACTGTTTCGGATGATGCCCACCGTGGCCACATTGATAATCCTGTACCAACTTAGTAGACATGCCGCTTTGCTTGGGCTCGTGGCCGCCGATGTTGTTCTTTGCAAAAGCTCTAAGCATTAGAAGAGTGGTATGATCTCATCTCGCGTTGTGGCGCAGCTCGTCCCGTGCGGGTCAGGTGCAGTGCGCTGTCTTGAAGATACCGGTACATCCGTTGGCCCTTCACTCTGCGTCTTATTGATGATATCCAAACGTTACTCTTGAGACACTGCACGCGGCCATTCCTGGCTCTTCGCGATCGCTCTGACGCCAAGCCCCTTCTGTTTGTGGCAACCGCGCGCTGCTACCACAATGTTGTGCGCCGCGGACTGGCCTCTTCGCGCCTCGCGGGCGAGTCCGAACTCAAGTTGACTTCAACGAACGCTGTGATGTTGCACCGTAGCGCCATTGGTCGTGAATTGTAGTGCTGCGTGCGCTGTAATTCGTGCCAGTACTTTGTAGCGCGTGGTCGTTGGGAGTGGTGGGCAGCGTTGAGAGAGATTTACTGTACTGCATTCCGTCCTAGTGGCCCCACTTTCGAGTGATAACGTCAATGTTCTAGGTGTGGAAAGATTGGTAGTATTTACTTCGTTCATAAATATAAAGTCTAACGATAAAGATAGTCTACTGTGATTGCGTGGACGGCTATACTAGCAGGAGGCAGAGCTCTTCAATCAAGCGTGCCATGCTGATGCGGCCGTCCGCGCGCGTGAGCGCGTTGAGACCGTCCGAGAGGTTGACGTCGTCCACGACGCCGCCTTGGCGAGCAACTTCAACGGTAAACTCGCGCACAAAGGCGATGGCTTCGTCGCGACTGAGGAGGAGGTCGTCGCCGCCATAGTAAAGGTGGGCAAAGTACGAGTAGAGGAGGCTGTCGGGGTGGAGCTGGTTCCACGCAATGACGCTTGGACGCTGCAGTGGCAGAGCCTTGGGCATGCAGAGAAGGAGGTTGTGTTGCATCGTGGATCAAGTTTTGAAATGACAATGGCGCGAGCGTGTTGGGTGAAGGGTCGCTGGACGTACCGAACACCGTCGTGGCACGTCGCGGACGGTTTCATTGGCGCGTCGAATTTCTTTTCGGCCAATCAATGGCGCTGAAATGTTTTTGCAGTGGCCGGATTGGTGGAATCTGTCACACGGCTGGCACACACGCGCCATCTCGGGATCGTTCGTCGCAGACCCGACGGAGACTTCCGCGAAGCCGTCGCAGGTGGCAGCGTCGCAGTTGGGCGTCGCGCTCGCTGGCGTTTGCAGCAGATGATTGAGCACTTGGCTCGTGGAAAGCATCGTGTCGAGGATGTAGCATAAAACGGTGTCATGGCCAGACCCACCGTCAGACACGCGCCAAGATTCTTCGAGATATTTGATTAGGTTTTGCTTGGTCTCGTGCTGGGATTGGTCGAGACGAAAAAAAACGTCAAGTTGATAACGCAGCTGAGGTGGCAGGAGAATTTGCCAGTTGATGCCACTCAGACCATCTCAGTGCCATCAACTGGCGTCAACGTCAGACGTTGATGCCATGTGATGGCCACCGGTCGCGGGTCGCGACACGAAGGCGCAACTGTTTTCCACGTATTGTCCTGGAAAAAGCAAAAAACTCGTACGAAAATGGAGTTGAAACTAACAACAGCAACAAACCTAAGTTCTGAGCTTACGGCTACGGACATTGAAGGTATTTCTGCACCAAAAGCGACGTTGACCACGTCGTTCCTGGATGGTACATGTTTGCAAATGGAGTGGAGCGAAAAGGACAAGGATCTCGACTCGATGCATGCCATCACTCGATGGTGATGATTTGCGAGGATGATTGCTCCATCTTTCGTCCTTTTGGCCGAGGGACATGGCGTGCGAGATTCGAGATAAGCGTCTCTCCGACCAGCAATATATATGGCTCGCAGTGAAGTCGTCAGAGCCATAAAATGCTTGTAAGTGCTCAAACATTCTATGTTTTCAATGGAAGACGCCGGAAAACAGGTCGAGGGGATGTGTCTTTCACAAGCGCGCTTCTCTCTACGGACCCTTGCAGTTTCCCTTGCCGACGCCTCTGCAAGTACCGCGAAACTTCCCAAAAATATATTCGACATCGGCGCTGCTCGCATCGCTCGCTCTCAACTGCTCGGTGGCCCACAAGACGCGCACGTGCTGCCAACGTTCCGCAGCATCGATAATTGGTGCGTGTCGTTAGCACCGCGCGGCGAGACGTAGACCCTCGCCGGCCGCATCAAGGCCATTCGCAGTGGTTCACAGTGCCGACTTTGGCGCGGATGCATCTTCCATGTTTAAAACATCCCAATTTCAAGCGTTTTAAACACTCAGATCTCAGTTGGCATTCGCTGAATTCACTGTTGGTGACGTGGGTACCTGAGAAGGACGGCTCCATGCACCGAAGCCTGGCTTTATACCTTAGCTTGGCTTTATATTCGTGAACATAGTTGGACCTGTGGCTCACAAGTAGTATTCTTGAACGTGCCAATCGAAGGCCGGACAGAGCTGTTGGACAGGTCATGTCGATCGACCAACATTCCTTTTCTCAACCGCGTGCATCGCGCGCGCCGATTGGCGGATGCCACTCAAACTCAAACTCAATTGGCACCCATGTCCGCAGTAATGGGCGAAAAGTTTGACGCCAGCGGCCACTTGGAGCCGTTGGACACGCGACGCGCGGCTCCACATTGCAGTGCATTCCGCAAATGAGCATGGCGTCGACACTCGTACCGCGTTCGCTGCTACTGCTACCGTTCTTTCTCCATGTCGCGTCGAGCCTCAGCGTCGGCGGCAACAGCACGTTCGACAACCAAGTCAACAAGATCCTGCACTGGACCGGCGACGACTTTGCCAGCCTTGGGCTCGGGCCCGAGATCGTCGCCGGCGTCGCGATCGGCGCGGGCCTCCTCGCGACCTTCGTTGGCTACAAGCTTGTGCGGCCCACAATCTTTCTCGCCGGCTTCACGCTCGGGTCCGTGGGCTTTTTCCTCCTCGCCGAGCGCCTCTTTGCCAATGCGTCGTACATTGACACGGCGTGCTGGATCGCGTTCTTTGTCGGCGGCTTCCTCGTTGGTAGCTTTGTGCTCTGGCTCTACAAGCTCGGTATCTTTTGCGTCGGTGCGCTCGCTGGCGTCCTGCTCGCAACCCAAATTCACAACTCGTTTGGGTACTTGATCTACCCGTCGAGCCCCAACACGGTGCTACTCGTGCTGCTCGTGGTGCTCGGCCTCGGTCTTGGCCTCGTCGCGCTCAAGCTCGAGCGTCCGTTTCTGGTGTTTGCGTCGAGCTGCTTTGGCGCAATTAGCGTGGTCTGGGGCATTGGCTTCTTCGCCGGCGGGTACCCGAACGCAGCGTACCTCCAAAAGACCTTTGCCAACGGCGACTGGATCTACCACATCCCGAGCTCGTGGTGGTATTACCTCGCAGGCACCGTCGTGCTCTGCGGCCTCGGCATCGCGGTTCAGTTCCAAGAGCTCAACAAGACCAAGCGCGCCGCGGCGTCTTGCTGCGGTGCGTATGGAGCACGAAGGCCAGCGTGACGGTCCGCGTGTCCACGTTGCTCTGCACGAAGCTCATCGAGTCGCCGATGATGGACCGACACGTCTTGCACTGGAAGATGACCGGGCCGGGCACCTCGACTTCCTCCTCGTCGTCGGCGTCCAGCAGCCGCGTCGGCCTGTTGCCATCGTCGCTCATCTTGGCAAATGAATCCGCCGTGTCTGGATTGGTTGAAATCCAAACATTATGCACCAATCGTGGCCGATTACACGCCGGATACGTATCCGGAAGATTGCAAGTGAGCCAGAAAGGTCAAAGTCCCGTCCCGCATCAACCAGCCATGGGCCAGACCATGGGCTGCTGCAGCTGCGGCCCAAGGACGGACGCGCTGGCGACGCCGTACGATGCGAAAGGAATCCTGCTGCCCCAAGTCGAAGACGACAGCTGGAAGAAGCACCACGTGAGCGGGTACACGGCAGCCATGCTCGCCGAAGACCAGTCCTACACGCCGCCCCGCTTTGTGGGCCAGGTGCCGGCCGAGGCCGCGTGGGAGCTCTGAGACCGCGACGCGCTCAGTACTAGTATTATTTGATGTAGACGACACGTTCATAAGAAAGCACACAGAAAACACTTGATGGTTATGCGACTCCTAGATGTTCCAGCCGCCGTGCGCCGGTGGCGCGTCAAACACCTGCGACGAGTATGCGCTGCGGTCATTGCTGTCGGTGTACGAGTCGCGGCTCGGCGAGCGCTCGGCGCCACGCGGCGTCGTGCCGTTCAAGCTGCTCACCGAGCCGTACGAGTGCTGGTCGTCGTACTCGCGGCTGCTACTGCTGCGCGAGAGCTCGCGCTCGTCGACAAAGTCTCTCGCCGAGCTGAACGGGTCGTCGTCTTGGTCGTGGTACGTTTGGACTTGGGACACGAGGAGGCGCTCGTTCTTGCTCGTGTAGCTCGAGCCCGAGATCGACGACGTCGACGGGAGCACGTGGCCCTTTCGGTCGTCGGTCGAGTCGAACGTCGCGCGCGCGTCCTTGTCAAGGAGCTGCTCCTTGAGGTCGCTCGCGTCCACTTGGTTCTTGGCGCAGCAGCAGCACCGGGCACCCATGCTCGTCTTGTGAAGGGTCGAAAAAGATATGTGGATCCACGCCAGAGCACTTGACGTTTGTATGAGGTTGAAACCCTATGAAACTGCAGCCTTTCTACGCAGTAGCACCGAGCGGTCCTCTTCGCTACCAAGTGTCTTGTGCCAGGAGCCGTCAGAGTAGTGCTGCGCAGGTCGCACTACCTACATGAAAGCTAGGGTGCACGGACACGATCGTGACGCCTCAGCGTGCCACGTCATCGAGACAGGATCGCGCTCTCTGACGCGCATCACGAGTACCACATGGAAGGGACAGTCATGTCGGCCGCCAATATACTCTCTTCCTGTCGGACTCGGATCAAATGGCGTCAATGGGCGTGAAGAGAAGACTCACATGTGGTCCAGAGAGCATGAGCAACCACCCTTTACGGAATGCACGTTGACCTCGTACATGTCATTTTCGATTTCACGCTAGCACTGCGTACCATGGTCCGGCTCGCGACGATGCTTCTCAGCCTTGCCTCGGCCGTCTATTCGCAGGCGCCGCTGCAGTTTAGCACCCCAATGCCCTACGTCCTCACGCTCAACGGCAGCGGTCCCGTGACGCAAATCATCTCTCGCCCGCGGGCCACGTCGCTCTCGGTGCACATTGCGTCGATGCGGCTTCCGCCGGGCGCGACGCTGACGATCGGTACCGAGGATGGTCGCGATAAAGTCGTGTACACGGGCGACCTCGACGACGTCGACTCGGCCGTCTTTACGCAGCCGCGCCTTCTTCTCAACTACTCGTCTCCGACGTACTCGACCGGCAGCAGCGCGCCGATCGTGACGATCGACACGTACTTTGCTGGCGGCGCCAACGCTGGCGGCCTCGAGTCTATCTGCTCAACAGCCGGCTACGCGTCCGTGGGTGTCGCTTGTTTATATGCTGACGCGGCCAAGACCGCAGTGTCGAGAGCCGTCGCGCGGCTCGTCATCCGCGGCAAGTCGCTCTGCACGGGCTGACTCTTTGGCACCGGCGGCTACATGCTCACCAACAACCACTGCGTTCCGTCCGATGACGACGCCAAGTACGTCCAGGTCGAGTTTGGCGCGACCTGCGCTAGCTGCGAGGACCCGAAGAACTTTGTGCAGCTGGCGTGCAAGGGCACAATGGTCGCGTCGAGCGTGACGCTTGTGGCCACGAGTCACGCGCTGGACTTCTCGCTTGTCAAGCTCAACCTCTTCCCGTACATTGGGGATCTCTCGAGCTACGGGTATCTCCAAGCTCGAGACAGCGTACCCGTGCTCGACGAACCTATCTGGCTCGCTGGGCACCCGAGAGGAAGCCCGATGCGCATTGCGAGCACCACGGACGGGGGCGTGCCGGGGACGATTGTATCAACCAATGTCGCCGACAGTTGCTCGACCAACGCTGTCGGGTACCTCCTCGACACCGAGAGCGGGTCGTCGGGCTCGCCGGTCCTGAGCACCACGGACAACAGCGTCATTGCGCTCCACAACTGCGGCGGCTGCAACGCCGCGACGAAATCCAACGGTGGCATCCCGATCGCAAGCATCCTCGCGTATCTGCGAACCAACGGCATCCCGCTACCGCCCAACAGTGTCTCGGCCACGCCAACGCCAACGCCGACCATGACGCCTGCTTCGACGAAGACCCCCCCACCCCCGACCCAAACGAAGACCCCGACACCGACCCAGGCCCCGACTCAGAATCCGACTCAGAACCCGACCGAGTCCCCGACTACTCCGACACCAGACGTCGTCCCCGCCTGCTATACAGAGTAGCAAGAACTCTTATCAACATGCGACGACGTGTTCCAGTCTTGTCGATGCAAAGAGTGTGGGGACAGGCGTTCAAACTCATTGTACGAAGCGAAGAGGGGAAACGTGGACTAGGAGAAGAACTTTAGTTTCTTGGCGGGCGAGTCCATCGTGTCGCCGCACTGCGCGTCATTGTCTTTAGAGGCTTTTCGGTTCTTGGGCGGTAGCCGGTGCTTCCACAATGTGCAGTTGGCGAGGTACTTGGGGCACTTGTCGTGGCGGTTGGTGCCATTGCATTTTTCGTTTTTTGTTTTTGCAAAGCCTTCGCACCACGTCCACTGGAAGTGGTCGCAGCTCTTGATCTTGGGACCTTCATAGATGCTCGGGACAACCCGGACGACGACCGGTGCAACGTCTTCTTGCACGTCCTACATAGCTCTTCGGTCTCGTTTCCGAACGAGTCGCCTTCGTACCCGCGCGTCTTTGGTACTATGCTGCTTGCGCTTAATCTCCGTACACCGATTGCAGATCTGAAAGGCATTTTGAAATCCCTCCAGCCTACAAGAACGTAGTGGCGACTCATTCCAAGCTTCTGCAAGTGCAGTAGTACGTGAGGGGCTGCTGGCTGTCGGCCCCAAAGAGCGAGTAGGGGAAGGGTTGCGCGTTGATGTCGTTGGGCGGGAAGAGCGTCATGAGGTTCAACGGCGCGTCTTCCTTGATGCGGTGTCGCTTCAAGAGCACTCTAGTTGCATGAACATCAGGAATCCATCGGATATTGCAGCGTACAAGAGTTGGGCGAGCAGCATCGTCTTGGTGAGCGGGTCCGAGTACTGAAAGAAGATGCGGTTGAGCTTTTGCTCGGCCACGTCCGGCGACATGGACATGCGAGGCAGCGCTTTCGGGGTCCTCGACCGAGTAATTGTGCGTGCGACCAGCGTTCCTGCATACGTGCACGTCATGATTGCCGACTGGGTGTTGGTTCGCACCTGGGTATGTCGGAGATATGACTGCGTGCATGGTATACGACGCCCCCGCGTTGTAGCTGCTGTAACTAGGTGGCTTGGACTTGTCGTAGCTTGGCGTGTTGAAGTACGACGGTAATGGTACATTTGGCGTGCTGTGCGGTGCCAACATGCGGTTGCCTTGGTATGTCACGGCAGGAGGCATCGTCGCCGGCGCCGGAATGTGAATACTGAGCGTCGGCTTTGGCTCGTCGACGGCGACTGGTGCGGTGGCGTCCGAGTAGAGAGCGCTGAACATGTCGAGCATCGCCGGCAAATCAGCGTCTTCGATCTCGGGCTGGGGCGACTGAAGCAGTGTCGGGTTGTTGATCTCGATGGGCACGGGCAGCGGCTCCTCTTTCACCGAGATCCACTTGTCGTCCATCATCTCGTTGCTGTCGTCGTCGTCGCCGTAAAGTGCTTGCTCGACAGCGCTGTTGGTGCTGCTGCGTCGGCTGTCATTGTCGGGCGTCACTTCGACCTTGATGATCAAGGTCTCAGGCGGCCGGATCTCGTCCTCCATCCATTCGTCCAGAAACGAGATGGCGTCGCCGTGCTTTCCGTGCGGCTGCTGTTGCTCTTCGAGCTCGCATATCTGACTAATGGTCTCGCACAACGTCGCCGAGTCGGCCATCAAGACAGGGTCGAGCATCTCGACGTCTAGCCACTTGTGGAGCGTATGTAGGGTCATGGCCTGTACCTTTGGAGCTGTCCTTGCCCTCGATGGCGTCGAACGTCTCCATCTCGAGGAGCTCATGGGCGTCGGCCATCGTGCGTCGCGCGGTCCGTCGCCTTGCGCCCGAAACCCGCTCTGCCGATGAAACACATTGCGCTCTAAAAATAGAAGACTCTGTGATTGGACAAAAAGGAGACCAAACCGCGCTGCGATTCGAAGAAAAGCGATTCGAATCTCTCGTTCGTCATTTGGATTGGCTAAAAAGAATGTACTACCGATCTACCGGCTAGAAACACACAGCCAGGACTTGGTGATGTACCAGCCCTGCAACAACCAACTAGTTGAGTCCTCGGCAGCACCACTGCGGCAGCACGGTGCATGCTCATCAAACGAAGAGGCGTCGCCACGTGGGAGCCCACCAACAACAGACGCAATGCAACACCAGCTAGAGATGTGTCGGCGCAGCTGCGATGCCAAGGGCTACGTCATTGGGCCTACGTGCTACGATCGCAAGGTCGCGTCGAGTGCCATTGCCAAGAGCCATCGGTCTAGAGAGTCTGTGTTAATACTATTGATGAGATACACGGCTACGAGCACGGCGCGCTCTGTGTCGCGGCGTCGGGCGCCGGCTCGGTGGGGCTGGCGGAGCGCACACTCTCGTAGGACGGCGGCGTGTACGAGTGGGCCGGTCGCGCCATCGTGGCCTTGTGGTTGAGCGAGCTCCACTTCTTCCATCCCTCGTTCAGGTCGGCGTCGTCGTCATGGTCGGCGCCGTAGAAGAAGGGCCGTCGTCGGCTGCAGCACGCTTGGCCCATCGCGAATATCTCCAAGTGGCGTTTGAAGATCCGGCGGATTGGATAAAAATACACAACCAACGTTCTATTCCTCGATTGGTCGAAATTCCGCTTCCTGAAGAAAGGCGAGGACGGCTAGTAGTAGGGCGTGGCGGGCTGTCGCGGCAGGTCGTTGAACCACGGGTGGCTCATGGCCTGCTTGGCCGAGATGCGCTGCCGAGGCTCGTACACGAGCATGCGCTACATGGACATGGGCATATGAGCATACGATCCGGCAGCAGGCAATACGGCTACCGAGAGGAGGTCAATGCCAATCGGGTCGAGCGCTGGCACGATCGCCGACCACGGCTGGGGCTGCCACTGCGGAAACGACACCTTGTAGTCGGGCAGTGAGCTCACGCCCGGCCACATGCCTTCGTCCGGTGTCCCGAGGACGCGGAAGATGCGGAAGAGCTCATCAATCTCCGAGTCGCCTACATGCACGCGTCATCCCCGTTGATGCCATCCCTCGTACCAGGAAAGAGCGGCTTGCGGTTGACCATCTCGGCAAAGATGCAGCCAATGCTCCATGTATCGACTGGCGTCGAATAGTGCGAAGCGCCGAGGAGGATCTCGGGGGCGCGGTACCACAGCGTCACCACTTCGTGTGTGTAGTTGCGAATCGGAATCCCAAACGCACGTGCGAGGCCAAAGTCGGCGAGCTTGAGCGTCCCGTGGGCGTCGAGGAGGAGGTTCTGCGGCTTGAGATCGCGGTGCAGGACGCGGTGGGCGTGGCAGAAGGCGATACCACTGCGTTACTTTGCGCTGAGATACCATGACAATGGGCGCGTCGTACCGGAGCATCTGGAAGACGTACGACTTGAGCACGAGCGGGGACATGGCGCCGCCTTGGAGGTCCATGAACTTTTTCAGATCGTGGTCGAGAAACTCAAACACCTAGCATCTGCATGTGAGCAATGACCAGGTAGAGGCATGCGAGAAGATGCGCACGAGGTAGAGCTTGTCGGCCTGGTGGATCACGTCGTGGAGGTGGACGACGTTGGGGTGCACAAGCTCTTTCAGCAGCGAGATCTCGCGCATGGCCGTCGAGGGCACGCCCTCGTCCTCGCTCTCGAGGCGGATCTTCTTGAGCGCGACGGTCGCATTGCTGTGGAGGTCGACGGCCTTGTACACGACGCCGTACGTCCCCTCGCCGATCTTGCTCACCTTCCGGTACTGGTCCATCGCCAATGACGAAATTAATTTGCCAGAAATGTGGCCAACCCACTTCAAGGTAGTCACGATGCGCGCGCTCATTGGCTAAAATGGTGTTGCCGAGACCGATACAAATGCCCCGTCGCTGGCCTCTTGAGGCGTTTGATTGGCCATTATGTGGGTGACCAGCAAGGCCATTGGATGTTTTTAACCCAATGGCATTGCACTCGACACCTCGCGATGCTGCAGACGTCGATTGCGTTCTCAGTTCTGAGAGGAATGACATGGAGCAAACAGACTCTATGATGGGATTAAATACTACTGCGGGCAGCCCAGGCCGCAACGCCGACGCTGACGAGCCCTGCTACCACTGCGATCATGGGCAGCGGGACAGAGGACGGCGTCGGGGCCGACGAAGACGTGTCTTGTGGAATGAGATGGTCCATGCGCTGCGCCTTGGCATCGAGGTATGCCTGGTTGTGCTTCTGACCGGGAATGACGATCGGAACCCGCTCCGAGACCGTGATGCCAAGCTTGGTGAGGAGATCGATCTTGCGCGGGTTGTTGGTCAAAAGTCGCACGGACGAGAGGTGGAAGTGGTTCAGAATGTGCTGGACGGATTCGTAGCTGCGGTAGTCGTCTTCGAACCCAAGGACGCGGTTGGCGTCGACCGTGTCCGCGCCTTGGTCCTGGAGGTTGTACGCGTGCACCTTGTTGGCGAGGCCAATGCCGCGGCCTTCCTGGGGCATGTAGATGACCATGCCGCTGCCTTCGCTGACCATGAAAGCCTTGGCCGTCTCGAGCTGTTCCTTGCAGTCGCAACGGAGGCTGCCAAAGACTTCAGACGTCATGCACTGATCGTGGACGCGAATGTGCATGTTGTCCGTGATCGGGCCGTACACGAGCGCGATCGGCTCGTACATGCGGCGGCAGCCCGTCGAGCGGAACGCGTGCATGTGCCAGTCGCTACTCGACGTCGGGAGCTGCGCCGCTGCGACAAAGGTGGTCTTGACACCGCAGCCAAGGCCCGTGAGGCCATCCTTGTCGAGGTCGCAGCAGGCCATCGGGTCGGCGCACGTCGCCATCATCCTGCTTGGTAGTCGATGGCGATTTCGCTTGTCGACACGACCAGTTCGGGGCCACCACCCTCTCAATTTCGATATTTTATGCAGTTTCAGGACCGGCTGGGAGAGGCCCGGGAACGTGTTTTTGTTCATCCGGCAGTATTTATTGTATCACTTGCACATTGTATGCAATATAATAAATGACCATCAAATCGAAGATCCCAAATAGGATACCGTGCCTGATTACGCCTACCGGAACCGACGCGAAGCCTCTGAATCATCATCGGCAGCAACTTCCTCTTGGCTCACGACGCCCTAGTCCGCTGCGCTAGTACCCACCAAGTACTAGTACGCAGTCCAGCCTTCCGACTGCTCGAACCGGCGCGAGCGTTATATTGGCGTAACCTTCCGTGTACATATCTCTGTCCTCGGACGAAACTTCGCTTCGATTCCGCCGTCTTCGCAGGCGCCTCATGCTGTCCGTGATGTCGAGGCTTCGCGAAGTCGACGATGCCATGGCGATCTTGATGTTATTAACGCTGAAGTCCATGGTAGTCATTGATGCCTCATTGCTCTACTGCTAGTGACGAGTGTATGACGGAGCTGGCAAGAAGCCTCTCAGAATGGATGCAATATGGATTGTCAGAGGTCGTGAAATGTTCGGCGGCCAAGTGACTGTGGCATTTGAGTGGACGTCAAGATGATCCGAGCCGGGAGCATGCAGAAGCGGTCGTTCTACTCGGTCGTGCACAAGTACCTCGAGGCCAACAAGCGCTACGGCTGGAAGGAGTGCTTGTGGAAGCTGTACAACCCCGGTGACATCAAGTTTGGCAAGGAGGTTGGCGAAGACCAGTTTGGCAACAAGTACTACGAGGACACGACCGAGCTCCATGGCCAGCAGCGCTGGACCGAGTACAAGGTCAAGACGCACGACGAGTTTGGCGGCGACCAGATCCCGCCCGAGTGGCACATCTGGATGCACTCGCTCTCGGACGCCAAGCCCGGCGAGGCCGGCCAGAACGTACGTCGTTGCAGGCAACGGCAACAAGAAGCGCTCATGGCCTTTTTTCTATGTATTAGCCGGAGAACTGGTCCAACGTGCCCATCTCGACCGTCTCAAACGCGCCGTACACGAGCCACGTCGGCCCCACGACGCCGTTCACGGACAACCAGACGACGTACCGCAGCCGCGGCTACGGCATCGACAACTACAAGTGGCTCAAGGCCAACGAGCCGGAGCGTTACTACATGCAGCCCAACCACCCGCTTCGGTCGCGCAAGCGCCCCGCGACTATCTACGACGAAATCGACTACAACAACCCGGACGCGGCGCCCGAGCACTCGTCCGAGCCGTTGATGAAGTTGGACAAGAACTAAGCGCGCGGCCCAACGGCGAATCCTCCGTCGCCTAATCCAGTCGAATCGTTGTCTACCTTGTCGTCTCTTCCTCTAGCAGCATAGGACGACGTGTTATTGTTTTAGGAAGAAGCTCTTGGCCGCACACTGCAGAATGCTGCGCGACTCCTTGAGGCTGGCTTGGGACGCCGCGAGCTCCTGCCGCAGCTCGTGCAAGGTCGTGCCATTCTCAAAGTTGCTCAGTAGTTGCTGCATGAGCTGCGGGTCCATGGACGACGACGACGACTTCGCTTCGCCGTTGTTGTTGTCCCACTCGGCTGTCGCCTTGACGCGCTCCGGCTTGGTGTTGTCTACCAGAGACACAATGGGCCATGCTACCGGTGGTGCATCTTTGCTCGTACTATAAATGGCGCTTGCTGACTTGCCCTTGACGGGCTTCTTCTTGGGCGCGACGGCCTTGGTCGTCTTCTCGGCCGACTTGGAGCTGCGCAGCGTGTTGTTGGCCTTGCTCATGCTGGCCTTGGCGAGCTGTTGCTGGATGACGCTCAGGAGTTGATCGTCGCCGTCGTCGCCGCCGTCCAGTAGCTGTTGGGTCTAGCCGCCGCTAAGATCTGATCTCCGTAGGCCAATACTACCTGGAGGTTCTTGGCGTAGGCAAAGGCCTGCTGCACCATAGTGAGATCGATGGGCGCCTTCTTGGCAACCGGAGCTTTGGACTCGACCCGCTTGGCCTCGGGCTTTTCCGTGCGCAGCTTGGACCGCTCGAGCTTGAGCGTCGGGAGGAGGTTCTCATTCGAGCGGGACCCGCGCGCAATCGCGGCGAGGCTAGTCAGTATCCTAAGCCTCGTGCTGCATCCTAGGACGTATGCTTGCCTCGGCGACGGCTTGTTGAGGAACGTCTCGATCTCGGTGTAGAGCTCGCCGTTATTGCCGAGCGGCGTGTCGGCCTCGTCGTCGCTCTCGACCTCGTTGTTGCAGCAACGTGGTGAGAGGGGCATGCTGTCCATGGACCGACTGCTGCGACCGGACGAGGCCGACGACGGGAGGCTCGGCAGCTTGGACGCATCGCCCGACATCATCATCGTCGCCCCAAAATAGGTGGAGCGAAAATATAACACTCCGTTTCATCCTCGCAAGAGCCAAGCTGGGAAGCCAGGCCGCGTCGCCATGGCTCTCTCCTGTAGACGCCAAGCATGGACCCCGTGTCTCTAGCTTGTAGCTTCCTCTCGCCATAGCAACCTCAAGAGGACGAGGCTAGACAGAGAGGTCTCTCGCTTGCGACGCAGGTGCTGCAGTAGCCTTCAGCTCAAGCAGCATCGAACCTCGGACGTAGCGCGGATGCATGTGACGAGTGTATTGATGCGTGTTATGCGGCTACGGTGCGGACGACAACGCTATAGATCGACGACGTTGCAGCGAAGCGACTAGTCGTCGTAGGACGGGAGCTGGGCGTAGTCGTAGCCGGGCCAGCCCTTGTAGGCGCCGTAGAGTTGCGTGGTCGCGTAGCTGCCCGGAATGAATGCTACAAGCATGTTAGTGCAGAGGTCGAGGAAAGGACGTAGTGTACTGATGAGGCCGAGCACAAAGAAGGACATGCCCCGGCGCTCGCCGTCGAGGCCAAAGAGCGTGCTCACGTAGAGAAGGACCTAGCGCTGTTCCGTGGGCCACGACCGCTTTAGTCATGGGCGTCGTACCGAGCCGATAGTAAAGAGCACGACCGCGGCGAGGCCGGTCCGGATCGGGAACCGCTTGTTGCGCGAGAGGTGCCAGCGGGACACGCCTTTGGACGTCTACGCGCCTAGCATGAGCTACCGCCATGGAAGCATGCGTACGGGCGAGAGCGGGCGGCAGTCGTCGGCGTTCGCGACGCCTTGGAAGCGGTCGCGGCTCTTGGCGTCCTTCACCATCGGGCTTCGAGAATGTCGAACATGAGAGCGGCCCTTGGCAAGCGGTTCGAACCGGACCGAACCGGTTTTTGCGTGACGTGGCGCGCCCCTTTGTCGGCGATGGGCCAGTGGCCTTATCTGCGCCCTTGGTTCGCGCACCGTCGGCGGCGTCCGGACGAGCCCACGCCAGCCAGCGCTACAGGCGTGCTGCAGTACATGTAGCGTCGCCCTGGGCCTCATCTCGCCTCGAAACACCAGCAGAGGCGCTTGACCACTCAAGGCTGCCGGACCATCAAGAGGCTTCATCATGAGCAGGAAGCACAGCATGCATCGGCAGTCGACCCCGGTCCGGTCAGGCGCCCATGAGAGTTACCTCGGTCTCGTCGTCGTTCTCGCTCTGGAACATCGCGTCTTCCGTCGAGCTTAAAATAGAAGTCATTTCAAACCAGTGACGACGATGAGCAGCAGCAGCAAGCCGCAGCAGTCGGCGTCGATGGTGCGCCGAGGGTGCGAGCCGCGCTCATGCAAGCTGGCGTAGGAGGAGGTCGAACTCGAGAAGGGCGAGGAAGCGCGCGACGAGGCGGCGCCGTCGACGGCCAACACGGGCTACGAGAGCCGCGCCGCGAGTCGCTTCTGGTGGGTGCCCGACATCAAGCTCGACCCGCGCGTGCCCGTCAAGACCACGATCGTCGCCGTGACGCTGCTGACGGCCGGCGTCGTACGTGCTGCTGTGTCCATGAGTTGCATGCGATGATGGTGCTGTTCAGGGACTGCTTCTATGGGGCATCGTGCTCGCCGCCGAAGGCAAGGGCCTCGGCCACCTCTTCCTCGGCTTTATGAGTGCGCCCGTCCACAGTGTCTGCGTGGCTCATCCTTGTGTCTGTAGCGGCGACGCCCGGTGCGTATGCGACTGTGCAGCTCTACGGCGCGTACCGAGGCTGGCGAGGCTACGCCTTCGAAAACATCCCTTCCTACGACACCTCGAATCCGTCTTAATCTGTAGTACACACTTGCCCATCTACGCTCTATCCTCGCCCGACCACAAGAATCACCAGGCAACGCAACGAGTCTCCTGTCCATGTCCTGGCGCTCGTTGGAGCTCACAACGCGCTGCGCCAAGCTAGAGTCGAATGGAGCACGAGGAGGTTCATTTCGTCGACCGCCGCAGTACGACAGCAGGCGCTGCAGAGTCGCCTCGGCTGGATGGGCCTGGCAGCGCTTTCGTTGCATCATATCACCTTGTCATGGACGAGCGAATACGTGCAGGAGGGTTACATTGATCATCATCGTCGAGAGGCTAAGAATCGGGCCTAGCCCATGAGCAGTTCGAGGAAGATGGCGACGATGTTGATGACGACAAGGGGCACTAGGTACAAGGTGAGCCGCTTGTACGTAGTGTGTGATGGCAACGTACTGCGGAGGTACTGCACGGCGACGAGGAAGCCGACGACCTGGTTCTTCATGGACGGGCTGCCACCGCTCGAGGCTTCGAGCTGGTCGTAGCCATCTACACGACGCATGAGCCATGGTACGCATGCATGTACGTACAGCGCCGGAGGAAGCGCTTCTCATGGAGGATCGCGAGCGCGTTCACCGAGAGGAGGCTCGTCATGATGAGCTTCCAGATGTACCCCATGCTGCTCGACCGACCGTCCGCTCGAAAAAAGGCAAAATATTGTAATTTAATAATTTAAATAAAATAAATTTCGGCGCCAGAGAGACCAACCGGCCAAACCGGCGCCATCGTTAAGCAACTAGTAGTGCCAGTACTGCACTCTCACCACGAAATTGGGCACCCAAGCAACATAGGAGTCAACTCGTCAACAGTACCTCGTAGCTTGAGCACAGGCGACGCGGCAAGTGCAGAAGTGGTTATTCTCCCAACCTGGTGGCGTCGGCTAGCGAAAGACCAAATGTAATTTGTGGTTGGTCCAGACCACCAGTGTGAAGCAGCTGAGTGTGAAGGACCAGGCCACTTCTAATCACGCAGGACATGTTGAACATGGCTTTTGAATTCTGGGAGACAATTCTGGGAGTCTGATATACAGTCTGGGAGACATGAAAGCTCCAGCTGCAAGCTCCGTGGGCGCATTTCATTGTCCGACGGACACCATGTCCACAACCTGATAACGTGTCGTTCTTGATTTCGTTTCATTTTGACTTTGGCCATGGACTACAAGCTCCACATTGGGACCGCGCCGGTGGTCCCGGTTTCGATCCTCGACGCCCGTTTCCTCACTACGACCAAGGCGACGTGGAGTTACGCGGCCAATGCAACCAACCAGTCGCTCGTGTACGCCAAGAAGCAGCTCTGTGACGCCAAGGGCGGTGTCGTGGCAACCCTCTCGCGCAAGGCTTTTCTCTGCGCCTACGACACGTACACGGTGGCAAGCCCGTACTTGCAAGTGCCCGGAACGATCACGACCTCCGTCGACTACTGCCCGAGTCGCACGGCGTATACTTGGGTCTTTGACAACCGCGGGTCCGAGCTCGAGTTGTCGGCCGCAGGCTTCTCGCTGCGCCCTGTGATCACACTCTCAACGCCGACCCAAGAGACGCGCGTCGTCGCCACCGTCGGGGCCAACAACACGGTGACGATCGAGGCTGGCGTCGATGCGGCCGCCGTCCTCCTCCTCTGTCGCATCTGGTCGTTCAACTTGAACATGGGCTGGCTGCTTATTGGTACCGAGATGGTGCCCTTCGTACTCACGATCGCCGCCTCGTGCACTTCGTTCAGCGCCAGTTCCTACGCGTATTCCAACGACGGCGCCTCGACGTCGACGAGAGCCAGCCTGTGGCTTGCAGCAAGCATTGCGTGGTTTGCCTGGACCTTTCTCATGTTTGGCGCGATGAAGTGCTTTGATGCTTGGCTCTAGGCTGCATAGCTATCGATTTCTATAATAATGCATGCCAGTACTCGTTAACCTATCTTCTTTTCGCGTGCCGAGAAGACAGAGCCTCTCAGGTCGTTCAACTTGAACATGGGCTGGCTCGCTCTGGGTACCGGGATGGTAGCCGTCGTGCTCGTCATCGCTGGTTTCGCGCTGTATTTCGATGGTGCCGATACGTCGGTCAGCGTCGGCCTCTATATCGCTGGGGCTATAGTGTGGTTTGTCGGGTCTATTGTCATGGCATTCGTTATAAAACACTTTGATGCTTGGCTCGAAGTTGCACACTTTTATCTTTTTTACGATCCCTTCTTTCCCTTTGGTATACTCCAACAAATCAGCTGCAGTGTTGCCGAATACGAAGGCGGTAAACGCGCGTGGGCCAAGCTCGCGGCCCTTGTTGCGACACAGACGTCGATGATCTCGGGAGCCGTCGTCCGCAAATTATAAGACATGAGTCACCACAGGCCACGTAGTGCTTTCTTGCGATGGCAACCTCGTCCAAGATCGACAGTAACGTTAGCATCCTATGGTGCTCAAGGATTCCTTCTCCGGTCCACTGAGTGATACTAGTACACGCACAGAGCTCACACCGGTTTGCACCGCAGTCTGCACGATCACGATCATGTGGAGGCTGCTTGTACTACTAGAGATGACGGCATGCATTGGCGGACGCTGTATTGTCGTTGCCAATAATGACGATGGCGCCAATGACTCATGGGCTTCCTCCCCAATCAGTCTACGTGGGCGACTCTATATGTAGTACTATTATGTGGACTGTGAATTTCCATCCACTTGGTATATGCACTGGACCTTCTACATGGCACGGTAAACGTTTAGCTAGTTTAACCTTGGCTTTGGACCCCGATTTGGACAGTCGAGGACCCTCGCATTGCAGGTCGAGGTTTGGCGCGAAAAAAACGCGTTCAGCTCGACTTGAACGCCACAAAAGCACCATCATTCTGCTGTTTAAACGCAGTATCAACTATGTTTCAGGTGGCCCGAGGACTGTTCGTAGGCCACACCCGTGAGGTGCTGCTGCTGTCTTGCATACGTAGTCAAAGACGAGGGATTTAGAGGTCGTACGTCGACTGCCAACACGCGGTAGCCGGGCAGTGACGCAGTGTGGGGCTGTAGCCTGTTGGGTTCAACTGCCTTTAACGCGCTTTTGCTAAAGGTGGCAGGTGCCGCTTTTACCGGATGTCAACCGGACGAAACCCCTAAAATTCGGTGTGGTCCGCACTCTCTCTTTTTCAGTGTCGAGCGCAAGCGGGAGGATGGCGACGCCGGCGACCGCAGCCTGGCGCCTCGAGATCTCGGAAGAGATGCGCAAGACGATGATCACGGAGATGTAGGCGCTCGGCATGGAGGCCATGAGGCTCATGCGTCTCTAGGTACCATGAGCTCCTGCGCATCTCGGGCGAGAACGACAAGCAGAAGGTCTGGCGCTCCGCCGCCAAGTTTGAGCTCATGCTCTGGACGCAGTCGGAAGACAAGGTATGGCCGCCGCTTCGTTCGAGCACCCTCATCATGCAACGCGCCTAGACAACGTACTTGACCAAGCTCCAGAAGAAGATTGCGAGCCTCAAGAAGAAGTCGCAGACGGGGGATGCGCCGGCCGCTGCGCCGGCCCCGGCGGCCCCGGTCGTCGCCGCGACCCAGATGCCTGCGGGCTTTGGCGCGCAGGCCATGCCCCAGGCCGCTGGCATGGCCAACCCGACGACGACCGCGGCCGCGATCCAGTACACGCAGCAACTGCTTTTGCAGCAGCAAGCGCTCTTGAAACAGCAGCAGCAAGAGCAAGCGCAGCAAGCCCAGCAAGCCGCGCAGCAGCAGGCGCAACAGCAAGCCGCGCAACAGGCCGCGCAACAGCAAGCACAGCAAGCCGCAGCCCAAAAACAGGCGCAGCAGCAAGCAGCTGCCCAGCAAGCCGCGCAACAAGCCGCCCAAGCCCAGCAAAACCGCATCAACCTCATGAACCTGCAAGCCGCGCAACAAGCGGCGGCGGCAGCAGCGTCGACCGCGGCCCAGAACAACCTGGCCGCGACGCCGGCGACCAATGCCGCGACAACGGCCGCGGGCCTCGCCGCCGGCGCGCTGCAACAGCAGCCCACAGTGCTCATTGCGCTGCAGCAGCAGTTCCAGCAGCAAAAGCAGACCATGGCGACCGCGCAGCACAACGAGATGCAGCGCTTGCGGCAGACGCAGCTACTGCAGCAGCAGCAGATCACGACGACCCACATCCAACAGAACACGCCGCCCGACACGCGCCGGATCCAAATGTCGCAGCTGCAACAGCAGCACGCACTCGCCCGCAACAAGCTCACGCAGGAGCACAAAGCCAAGCAGGCGCAGCTCCTCCGCACGCAGCAGCAGCAATTCATCGCGCAAAAGCAGGCGCTGGCCAATGCCCCGGCCGCGCCCGTGGCCGCCGCGACCCCGGCGGCGGCGACGCTCAAGCCTGGCATTGCGCTCGCACCAAATGCCCAAGTGACGGCCCAGCAAGCCGCGCAGGCCCAGAACGCGCAAGCACTGCAGCGTGCGCAGCTGCGGCAACAGCAGCAGCAACAGCAGCAGCAACAGCAGCAGCAAACGACGCCGTCGCCATTGGTGACGCCGACAGCGCCGTCGGCATCGACCGACAACCTCACGTACGCCGAGAAGCTGCGGCAAATGAAGACCAAGTACTGGGACGATCTCGTGGTCGTGCACACGGAGTTTACGCGGATGGCGCAGCAAAAGCCGTCCGGTGACTCGGCGCAGGCGGTTCAGCAGCAGGAGCGCATCAAGAACTTCCTCGCGAACCTCAAGCGCATTCTGACGCTGCTCAACCAAGACCCGAGCAAGATGACGAGCAACAACCGCGGCGACCTCGACCGCGTCGAGCAGCACATCATGCGTCAAGTGATGCCGATCTTGCACCGGCTCAAGACGGACAAGGCCAAGAAGGAAGCGGAAGAGAAGCAGGCGGCCGAGAAGCAGCAAGCAGCCGCGCTTGTCGCCGCACAAGCGCAGCTCCTCGAGAAGCAGCGCTTGGAAAAGCTCGAGGCCGAGCGCAAGATGCAGCAGGCGCAACTCGAAGAGAAGGCGCGGCTGCAAAAACAGCAGCTCGAGGACAAGATGAAGCTCGAGGCGGCCGAGAAGCAGCGCCAGCTCGAAGAGAAGGCGCGGCAGCTGCAGGTGGCCCAGGAAGCCAAGCGCAAGGAGCTCGAGCTGCAGCGGCAGAAAGAGCTCGTCAAGGCCGAGGCTACCAAGCCCACGCCGGCCGTCAAGGGCAAGCCCGCGGTGGTCGCCAAGCCCGGGCTCATCATGGTCACGGAGGCCCAGCGCAAGATCCAAGAGGAGATGTACAAGGTGCGCAGCCAGCACCAAGTGCTGTTGCAGCAAAAGGCGATGGCCAAGACGATGCCCGAGCAGCAAAAGGTTACGAAGGAGATCCAAGGTCTCCAGCTCAAGATGAACCAGTTGCACCAGCAGTTTCTGCAGTCCAAAGTCGCGGAGGAGGCCAAGCCCAAGGTCGAGCCGCCGGTCGTGCCCGAGCCGGTCGTCGCCGCCGACGGCTTTGTGTCGGTCGTCAAGGCCGGGACCGGCATGACCGCGGCCGAGTCGCTCCTCGCAGCCATTTCGACGTACGCCAAGGAAAAGCCCAGCGTCCTCCACGACGCCGCGCCCCAGTTTCTCGACATTAGCCTCGCGATCGGCGCCAAGCTCACCACCGCGTTTGTCTAAGAGATATTATACTATCTATTCCACTGATGACGTGGCAGGCGCTGCGGGCGTTTGCAGTTGCGCAAGCATCCGCGCCCGATGCATCGCATTCGAGTGGACTGCAAGGTCGTCCCTTGCTAGGGTAGACCAACGGGAAGCAACTGATGACGACTACATGTTGGTCGATCTACAATCTGAAGACTACAACCAAGACCTTTTACCAGTACAGTGTATGCGAGGGCAGCGACGCGGCAGCGTCATTGCAGACCTAAGGACTGCAGCGTTGTCGAAGGACGGAACCTAGGCCGTTGGACAGAGCGTCCACGACCACCGTAGTATTGCGCCACAAGTAGCCACCAATACTGGCTCGTTTTGCCACATTAGCGAGCGCGAGTGAGCTGTCCTGTCCCATAAGAAAGACCCTGTCTGGTACATCTGGACTCCAGATGTACCAGACACCTTTGCTGACTCCAGAATCTGGAGGTGTCGCGAAATGATTTTGGAAAATCAGTCGCGAAACAGCAACGACACGCCCATCACTCATGCCAGCTTCGTCGCACAATCCGTCATCGGCCATTGCGCAATAATGCTCTGCACTAACAAGGCCCTGACGTTCTCGGACGTCCGGCGGTTGTACCAACACGACGTGAGTGTCGTCTGGCGCTTTTGCGCGGCGCAGACCCAAAGGTCGCCCGCTCTGCAGCGCTTTTGCCAGCGTCTGCGCCGCCTGCTCGTTATGTTTACCCTCGCGTCGCCCGCGGCCGCCGAAGCGCATCCGGCCGTGCCGCGCCTGCACGCGTTTCTACTGCGCTACGTCGTGCCGCTCTCGCGCGAGCTCCAAGCGCGCGGCCATTGCAGCAGTAGTTAGCGCCGAAATCAAAGACTTGTTAGTAAATATAGGTCCTTGTCCAAACAACAAACAACTTTACGCAATAATTGACGACTCTACGTGGCTTTGTCTTTGGCTATCTACCGAATCCTCCCATCAATACCTTGATACTTGGCCCCCAAAGTCTCAGATCTTATCGCGACGGACGGCGCTGCTTGTCGCTCTTGAGACCTGTCTGATGTCAGGACCTTCTGTGTCGGTGCCAGTTCTCTTAGCGCTGTGATGGGCTGCTTGGCGCGTCCTCTCGCAAGGACCAGTACCGTGAGACCCTCCTCTGGCTCATAGATGCCCCGTCGTTGGAACAGGATTTGGACGTCTTGTAGGACGGCCAATGCGAAGTGTATCGCCGGAGAGCCCGTGGATCCCTCGTTTGTGTATAGTCCGCAAGTGACCCAGACAGGTGTAGGGAATATCAAATGTATAGAGTATGAGCGACTGCAAGCGGTACAGGGTTCGAGGCGCTCAAAAGCCGATCGTGGAGGTGTGCGCGACGCCCTGCGCTTTGATGCGGAACGTGTTGAGCTCCGTGAGCAGCTTGAGGCAGTCCTGCTTGACGTGTTCGTACTCGACTTCGCGCGTCTTGGTGTCAACGACTAGCGCCGCAGGGTCGATTTTGTTTCAAAGTATCAAGCGGACGTACACTCTTTGAGGTGGTAGATGGTTTGCTCGTGGTGCCGGAGCTTTTGCTCGAGCGAGTCGAGAGTTTTGGCCGTGTCGTTCCCGGCCAGCGTGTGCTTGACGTTTTCGTATTGGTTGGACTAGTACACGTCGTCGACCACAAGCAAGATGAAGCGAGGACGTACGAGCAAGATGACTTGGGACTTCATGGCGTCCCGGCGGCGAATGTACTGCTGCTTGTAGCGCAGAAGGAGCTGCTTGGTGTTGGCGTGCGTGTCCTTCATCTCGTCAATGTTCTTGAAGCCTTCCATGTCGCTTTGCATCGTGTCCATCTTGGTGTTGAGCGAGCCGAGCTCGACCGAGATCTTGGCGTCCAGCGTGTTGACCTTCTCCAGCTCGGCTTGGCGCTTCCCAAGCTCCATCGAGAGCCTAGGCGATGTGATGAGAACCGCTTGCAGAGGTGCTGTACCGTGTCTTGGTCGTCTGCGCCGACTCGAGCTGGCGCTCCTTGAACGTCAAGTCGCTCTTCATCTCCTCCACTTTGGCCGCCGACGGCATCTTGTCCTGGCGGCCCAGCCCTGCCTCGTGCATGAGACCAGAAGACAATTTGGCTCGAATCTACCGAGCGAAATGTGCTCGAGGAGGCGCACGACCATGGCCTGCGACTGCCGCTGCCCCTCGAGCTCCTTGAGCTTCTTCTCTTCAAACGTCTCCATGAAGAGCGTCATTTCTTGGTCGCGCTGGTAGAGCATGTCGTATTTATGGCTCGTTGTGTTGCCGTCGGCGCCTTCGTTCTTGCGCTCTTCGAGCTCCGTCTTGCCTTCGCTCAGCGCCTTCTTGAGGCCGCCTAGTTTGATCGCGATTGAACACCAAAACGAAGACATTATGTTCCAACCATTCTCGTCGTCGATAGCCACAATCTGCTTTTCGACTTGCTCCATCTTGATCTTGTCGTCTTTGACCTATGGTTTGTGTAGAAATATGGAGGAAAACATAAGAACTGAGAGCGTACGCGGGCGAGGAGGAGGTTCCGCGCTTCGTTCGGGTCCATCTGCGCGGTTGCGAGGTCGTCTTGGACCATCTTGCACTCCTTCTTGAGACGCATTGCTTGGTGCTCGAGGTGCTCGTACTCCTCCCGGTACTTGTCCAAGCTCAGCTCGTCTTCTTTGGCGCGAATGGCTTGCATGAGCATGTCGAGCTCCTATTGAAAAATGAAAAATGCGAAAAATGCGCGGTCAACGAGGTTCGAAGCACCTGCGACTTGGCCTCGAGCTCGGCTTCGGCGTGGTGGTTCTCTTCGAGAAGCGCGCGGTACTTTTCGAGTTTCTGCGGTGCGAGCTGGTTGATCTTGTCTTGCTGCTTCATGTGGATCGCTTGGATCTCGCTCTCGAGGTGCTTGGTCGTGCGTTCTTCGTCTTGGCGCATGATAAAGATCTAGTCCTTTCTCTATAACTTTTTCGACTAGACATGACAATAGTGTACCCGATCGACTTCTTCGGCCTCCTTGATGTTGCGGTTGTGCAGCTGCTCTTGCACTTGGCGAATCTCGGCCGGGTCCTACGTTGCTGCATGCAACACCTGTCTTCAACTGCATGAGGCGACCGTCGCGCTGCGGAGCTTGTCCATGGCGAGGTTGTAGTCGGCGAGCTGGCCCTCGAGGTCCCGGACTTCGACCGCGAGCTGCTCGTACTTCTTCTCGAGCTACAGCAATTATTCGGATATCGAGCGCCGAGGTGACGAGGTTCGATCTACCTGCGCATACTGGCTCTTGTCCTTGGCGTCTTGGTCGATCTCCTTTGTGATCTTGTCGATTTCGGCCGTAATTTCCGATGTCTTTTGGTGCAGTTTGCCCGTAAAGTACGACGCGTCTTGGACCTGGCGCCCGGGACCCGCAGTGCCAATGCGCATGCCCATCATCCCTTGCTGCGTCACGGGGCGATCCGTCACTTGGACTTCGGTGTTGAGACTCACGCCGTAGCCCGCCGACTGCCCTGGCGTGGCCGGCACGGCGCCGGTCCCGAGCCGACTCGTAAGCGGCCGCCCGCCCGACGACTGTAGCGCCGTGCGCTGGCCTGTGCCCGGGCGCGCGTTGATCGCGTTAAGCGGCTGGCTGCCCGTGCCCGGTCGCTGCCCCGTGCCAGGCCGCTGCCCCGAGCTCGTACCTGGTCGACCCGACGACATACCTCCGCGTCCTTTCGCAAAAAGATCAAAATGACGCGATCCGGTTGGTGTCTAAATTCGGCATCACGTCCTTTCCGATTCGGCATCGATTCCTTCGAAGTGGCATATGCCGCTTGCTACAAATGTGCTCTTTATTTTCATTGCTCGCTTTCTATTCAACGCCACCTGGTTGGGCCACCTTGCACGACCCGATCCAAGCTAATACAACCCGCGCAATCCGCCGAGCGACAGGTTGTACACGATCTAGTCCTTTTACTATTATAGTATTTTTACTAAAATACGCTCGCTTGGCCTATAGCTACGAGAACCTCGCCAGCACCGCGCTGGCTACGGCGTCGTGGGCAAGCCACGGCTTCCCCGTGTTCCATGGTCGAAGCATGAGAGTGGTACATGAGCACGACGGACCAAGATGCTGAGTCGATTCGCTAAGGTCTGAACCGTTAGCGCCGAGCCGCCTCGCAGCTAGCAGCTAGCAGCTGCGGCTAGCTAGCCAAGAGGACCTAGTTGCGTCTTGCTCTCGTCTCCAGCTACCGCCGTCCAGCCTCCTGGTGGCCGCAGGTTGCGCGGCCAGGCAGCATCCAGCTGTGCTTTGCTGTCGGCAGATTGTGCTAGTCGCTCGGTCCGCCTCGTCACCCACTCTCACTCTCACGTCGCATGATCCATCGCGTATCTCGATGGCAGGACCGCCTTTCTAACGAGAGGAGAGTGAGTGAAGAGGAGCGCGCTTGCCGGATTGTACTCTCACGCCCCACCTTGCAGTTTGCCATTTGGCAATTGAGATGCAAGCGAGCATGCTGGCGTCGTCGCCCGCCGGCTACGGCAGCCTCCGCACGGAAGACCATAGTACGGACGTCATGATGAACCTCGAGACGCTCTCCGACACGCCGGACGCGGTCGACGAAGACGAAGAGGACGACGACGAGGAAGACCCGGACGAGTTCAATGACGTGCCGATGGTCGACCTCGTCTTTGACGGCAAGATCATGGTGGTCAAATACCGGCTCGAGAACCGACTGTACACCGAGACGGACCTCCTCTCAACGCACGTACGTAGCTTGCCGCGTGCCCACGTCGCTCACCCTCTTCCTAGTACGACCTCTCGGTGCTGGCGGCGGCGGCCTGCCTCGGCTACAACGAGCTCGTCGAGCTCGTGCTCCAGCACACCAACTACCGCCTTCTGGACCAGGTACAGTCGCTTCCGCCATGTTGGCCGCATGACGCTGGCATAGTATGCTTCCGACCCGATCATCCAAGCCATGGAGAACAACCACACGCGCGTGGTGCAGACGCTGCTGTCCACAATCGGCCACGAGATGGACCTCTCGAGCATCCTCAACTACGTACTGCGCCTCCATCTTCGCTCCTCTTCATGCTTGTCGTCTGTAGGAGTGCAAGCCCCTCGCGCACGTGGCCGCGGAGAAGGGCTTCAACGAGATCCTCGAGATGCTCGTGGCCGCCGGGGCGCCCATCGACGCTGTCGACGCAGCGGTCGATGAGGTTTGCGTCATCGCAATGGCCTTCTCCAATGCTTCTTGTCTCTAGTCGCGGAGCGAGACCGCGCTGCACTATGCGGCGCGCGCCGGCAACGTCCGTGGCGTCGAGATCCTCCTGGACGCGCATGCGAGCATCAATGCTGTTTCGGCGGTAGGTGTTATGCATACGCGCCTTGGCGTCTCATCGTACTGGGGCATGCGCAGGACGGCAAGACGGCGGTGGCGGTGGCAGCGACCGAGTGCGACGACGACGACAGCGCCAAGGCGGTGCTCGACCTTCTCTTCATGGGCGAAGCGACCATCGACTTGAGCGAGAACGACGTACGACTTGGCACAGTACCGTGCGCTCACAGAACCATTAGGACGGTGCCGGGCGACGGGTGCTGCTGGAAGCCGAAGCGCACCTCCGCGCCACGTGCCCCGTCCACTGCATGGTGCGCAACGGCGACGAGGCCAAGCTGCTGCGCTGGCTGCGCGACGCGAACGCGGCGGTGATGCTGGCGCCGCACCGCTGGGAAGGCCAGTACCGCCAAGGAGCAGAGTGGCACCCGCTCGGGCTCACGGTCAACGTCGTCGCGCTGCCCCACGAAGGGTGCTATCGCTTCTTTGGGAGCGACGCCGACGACGTCGGGCCGTTCACCGTCATTGGCGAGTGGTCGGGCGACGCGATCGAAGCGACCAAGGCGTACGAGCTGCAATCGGTCGAGTACAGGGGCGATATTGACGTGACCTCGGGCGTCTGGCGCGGCGACTGGATGGCCGGCAACAGCCAAGACCAGTTCAGCTTGACGCTCTCGCTGCAGCGCTGCCCCGCTTGTAAGGAGAACTGGGTCCCAAACCGCGACGAGCCGTGCTTGAGCTGCCTCCCCGACGGCTACAACGCCGACGTCTCGTTCGACACGATCGAAGAGCAGCGCCTCCGCCTTGAAGAGGTCCAAGAGCGCATTGCGGCCGAGATTCTCCACAAGGACACGGTTCGATCCTCGTCATCGCACCTTTTTTTCATCATTTCAAAAACAACTAGTGGGGACGCACGGCTGTCATGTGCGCAGCGGCCCAAGGCCGGGCGTCGCTTCTTCGCGTGCTCTTGCGCTTCTGCCGCGCCCAGGCGCTCGAGTACACCGACAACGTACGCGTGCGACAGTTCCTCTCGTCGCTGATCACTCGCTCGGTAGGACGGCAAGACGGCGCTGGACCATGCGCTGAGCCGCAAGCTCGTGTGCAAGCACAACGTCGAGCACAAGAGCAACCAAGCGACGCTCGAGTGCATCGAACTGCTCGTCGCGTCGAGCAAGACTCCGGTGGATCCGTCCCGCATCGTAGGTCCCTTGGCCTGTCCTAGCATCCTGTCATCGTCTCGACGCCGTAGTCGGCCGCGCTGACATACAAGCGCGAGCAAGGACGGGCGTGCGCGGGCGACTGCATTGCGACACGCCATGAGGTGAGCCTCTCGGAGCTCGCCCAGCAGTACGAGTGGGACCGCCTTGCCATGCACCTCATGACGCCCGTGACGTCCACGATCCTCAACAAGCGCGACACGGAGGGCAAGGCCGTCTTGCACTACATTGCGAGTGCGGGCAAGTCGGACATCCTCGTCATGCTCTTGGAACAGCCGCATCTCGACGTCAAGCTCCCGACCTTGGTAGCCACACGAGCTCGTCGCATTGGTCTCATATAGAGAGGACGCTAGGATGGCGAGTATGCGCTGCTGCTGGCGGCCCGCGCCAACCGTGTCAAGTGCGTGCGCATGCTGCTGCACGCGGGCGCCGACCCGCTCGAGCTCATCACGACCGAGCACGTTGATTACGCCAACTTTTGCAAGGCGCCGTTGGGGCTCCTGAACGACTCGAGCGCGCTCTACCTGCTGCAGGCCAAGCACGAACTCAAGCAGCAGTATCCCTTGTACTACCTCGCGCGCGTCAAGGACGTGGCCCAAGCGAGCGTGCACTACGCCGCGCAGCAGTCGGCGGTCCACGTTGCTGTCAAGGCGGAGCTCCCGACCTCGATCCTCGCCGAGATCATCGACCAGAGCATCCACGACGTCAACGCCCAAGACAAGGTCCGTTCATCTTCTGTTCGGCCATGTAGCGAGAGGAATGACTAGCATGACGAGACGCCGCTTATGGTCGCCACGCGCTTGGGCCTCCCAGGCCACGTGCAAGTCCTGTTGGCCAACCACGCCGACGTCGACGCTGTCAACAATGTACAGGATTGTCATACGATACGGACCTCATATATGGCTCTGTAGCGCCGCCAAAGCGCGCTCATGATGGCGGCGAAGGGCGGGCACATTGCCATCGTGGCGATGCTGCTGGAGAACCTTGCGGACGTCGCACTCCGCGACAGCAAGGACGAGACAGTCCTCGAGAAGCTCGAGACGTACATCGCGACGCACCTCAAGGCGATGCCGTTGGAAGCGCTCATGAAGCACCCGCATGTCAAGATCCGCGACGCGATCAAGTCGGAGATCCGCGAGCGCCAGACGTCGGCCGAGTACCGCGCCAAGCTCGCCAAGTCGCTCTCGGACGTCAACGTCGAGACGGCGTTCCGGCTCAACGGTTTTGCCAAGGCCATCAACTGCTCGCCCGAGCTCGGTGTCACGTTTCTCAACGACTGCGTCAGCATGAACCGCCACGACGTCCTCTTCTCGCACCTCGACTACGTCTACGGCAAGCACGTCACGGGCAGTGCGCTCCACGCGCTGCTCAACATGGAGACGGACGACCCAGATCTTATTTTCGAAGCCAAGTCCAAGTGCTTTGAACACGTGACGATGCAGCGTGTCCTCGAGATCAAGTGGGAGCTGTTTGGCCAGCGCACGTTCCTTGAGATGCTCTTCATGTACCTCGTCCTTCTTGTGAGCATGACCATCTCAGCGGTGCTCTTCCGCGACGAAGACGCGATGGCGTCGCTGCACGCAACCAGCTTTGAGGTCCTGCTTGGCGTTCTCGCCGTCTCGCTCGCGAGTGTCGGGTACGTGGCAGCGCAGGCGCTGCGCCCACGCACGTTCTGGCGCCTCGCGCGCTTTCACTACGACGGCAGCCTCGACTTTGATCCGGAGCTTGACATCCCGGACCTCGAGCGTCACAAGGCGACGGCCAAGCGCCACCTCAAGCTCGGTGTCGCGATTGGGACGCTGCTTCTCGCTGGGCTTCTCGTCGGGCTTTTGGCGGCGACGTCGACCGTCTCGTCCTTCCCGGTCTTCAACAACGTCGTGTTGGCGGGCACGGCCATCTACTTTGTCGTAAACGAGTACCAGGAGGCCCGGAACGGCCTCGCCGTCTACCTCGCGTCGACCATCAACGTCATCCAAGTGAGCATGTACATGCTGATTCTGGTCGTCTTCTTGCCCATGCAGCTCAACTGGCTCGACACGCCGGCGCAGATTGAGATTGCAGTCGGGAGTGGCATCACACTCACGCTCTGGATTCTGAGTCTCCAGTTCCTCGAGGTCGAGGCGAGCGCGAGCTACCTCCTGCCGATGCTCACGGGGCTGCTAAAGGACCTCTGGAACTTCTTCCTCTTCTTTGGCGTCTTCCAGATCGGCATCACAGTCACCTTCTTCCAGCTCTACAAGGCGACCGAGGACGACGGCTTCAACTCGCTCAGCGGGTCGTTCTTGACGTCGTACTTTGTCGCGTTTGGCCAAGTGCCGATGGACTCGATGAAGTCGTTTACGAACGACGAGACCAAGGCGATCGACGGCTACGACTGGATCTTGTACATCTTTGCGGTCGTCATGATCATGGCGCACTCGGCCCTCGTCGTCTTCTTCCTCCTCAACTTGCTCGTCGCCAACATGAACAAGACGGTGGACGGCGGTCTCGAGAAGGCCAAGACCGAGGCGCTTGCAGCGTACGCGCAGTGCATTCTGCGGCTCGAAGAGGCCATGCACTACTCGAACGAAGAGACGCAAGAGCTCATCTACTTCATCCCGCCGACGCCGACCAGTGACGGGAAGCTCAACCCGATCTTCCACTTTGCGATGCCAAAGTCCCACTACGGTATCACGGCCGAGGCCGAAGACGCGATCGCTTCGCACAAAGCGCAGCAGACGTCCTGGGTGGACACGGCCAACGACGTCGCGACGCAGATCCAGGACGCGTTCACTGCATTTGAAAATGGGCTTCTCGACGTCGACCACTTCGCTGACGCCAACGCGGCAGCTGTCTTTGCCGCCGACTTGAGCGAAATCGCACGTACACGCACGCTGCTCGAGAACGTGCAGACGGCGATGCGCAAGAGCCGCGGCCAGCAAAACCGCAAGGAGCTCCTGAGTCGCTTCCAGAAGATCGCGACCAAGGACATGGCCGACCTCGCCAAGAAGCTCCGCCAGCTCTGGTTGCGCTCGGAAGGCGACCACGCGCGCTGCGTCCTTGTCTACGAGCTGGCGCACCACGCGACCATGACGGACGAGCTCCACGCGCTTCAAGCACGGGTTGTGAATGCATTTGAAGCCGCCAAGACGACAGTGGACGCCGACGTCGCGAACAAAGAGGCGACCACCGACCGCCTCGCTGCGCTCGAGACGCAGCTCGCCGAGATGCAAGCGCGGATCGCACTGTCCAACGAACAAGCGATGGCGACGATGACGGCGCAGTTCCAGACGCTGCTGACGGCCATGACAGCCAACCAGTAGCTCAGTTGGACGACATTGGATGCAACAGACAATAGTGTACTTTGTGGTTTAAGTGTGCAAAACTGCATCTAAATACGGCGACGGATACAGAAGAAATGGTCGCGACTAGGGCAACGATGGCGCGTCACAGGCCGAGAGGAAGCCGTCCCAGAGCAGCTTGTCGTCCAGGAACGCTGCGAGGTCGTCGGTCGTCTCGGGCAAGTCCCAGCTGCAGTCGTCGAGCGTAAAGACGTCGCAGAGCGTCGTCGACGACGCGGGGAGGAATTGCATGCATTCGATCGCAATGAGCTTGGCCTCGTTCGCCGCCGAGTGCTGCTGCTGCTGATGGTACATGTCTCGCGCGAGATGGTGGTCGTCAAAGGTGAAGACATCGGGCGTGTACTCCATCTTGACGGTCGTTGTCGCCGTTGGGGTGCTACTGGCGGACGAGGCGCTGTGGGACGGCGATGCTGCGTTCTGCGGTGACGCCCGCGGCGACTTGCGCACGACGTGGATAAGGAGCTCGGGCTGCGTGCGGAGGAAGCTCGGGTGGCTGAACGTGCACACGTTGGACTGCGTCTTGGTCCACTTGCGGAAGCCAAAGTTGTTGAGCTGGCGTTGAAAGCTCGAGGCCTTCTCGTGGTTGAAGTACTTGCGTAGGATCTCAGTCTCGAGGCGGCGCTCCGAGAGGATCTGGATCGCGCTGCCGTCGTGCGACCAAGTGATGACACTCGGGTCTTCGGTCTCGAGCATGCGGTAGAGGCTGCGGAGGAACTTGGGGATGCCCGTGATGCGCTTCCGCTTCAGGTCGTCCGTCTGCATACTCATGCTCATGTTCATGTGCGTCTTGTCCGGCGACTTGAAAAATAATGATATCTCGGCGCTTCCGCCGGCTTCTCCCTCCCCTTCCGCGCACCTTCTTTGACCTGCGGGCTGTATCATCCGCAACCGGCCTGTGGGCGTGCCACGTATGCATGGTGTGCGTTGATTGGCTGCTTTTCGATCTTCAATGGGCGCGATCGGAAACCCCTCGATTTTCGAGTGATTTTCAGCCGTGCACTTCTAAAATCAAGCCAATCACAGCGTCGTGCGGGACGACCAGCGACGCCACCTGCGGTAAAGGCAAGGTCCGAGCCAAAACAAGGGCTTGGCTCCATCTTGGCGCCACGGAGGCCGCCATGATGGCTGGTCCCTTGGGATTTTTAGAGAGATGTGCTATGTAGTAGCATGCGGTGAAGCGACCGCTCGTGCAAAGGACGAGCTGTGGGTGATGGTCGATGAACAATGCCTTAGCGAAGCTTCTCGAACGGTTCTCGAAGATTACCGCAGCTGTGGGAATACCAACGATGCTGATGCTGGCAGAGAACCGAGTGCAGCGGTTCTACCGCAGACAAGACGATGCGCATCTCGGTTTCAATGCACCTGAATGTTAGTGAGGCGATGTCGAATCCGAGCGACCTGCTTTTGTCTCGCGTCGGCTTCGGTACTAGACGCGATTCTTATTATATAACACCATTTACAACTTCATGTTGGCCAAGTAGGTACTCCACCCATTCGTCTCCATCGTCGCGATCTTGTCGTTGACTTCGGCCTCCTGCTTGTCGAGGAATGCCTGCATCTTGGTGAGGTTCTCTTCGCCGCCGACGATGCGCACGGCGAGGAGGCCGGCGTTCATCGCATTGCCGATCGCCACTGTGGCGACGGGGATGCCCCGGGGCATCTGCACGATCGAGAGGAGCGAGTCCATGCCGCTGAGCGCCTTGGTCTGGATCGGGACGCCGATGACCGGCAGCGGCGTGAGCGCTGCCACCATGCCAGGCAGGTGGGCCGCGCCGCCCGCTCCGGCAATGAGCACCTGGAGGCCTCGGGCGCGCGCCGACTGCGCGTACGAGTACATGCGCTCGGGGGTGCGGTGCGCCGAGACGATGCTGAGCTCGTACGGAATGTCAAAGTCCTCGAGCACCTTGGCGGCGGCGGCCATCGACGGCAGGTCCGAGTCTGAGCCCATGATGATGCCTACGAGCGGCGCCTTGATATCGTGGGGGGCGGCGCTCGGGCTCAGCTTCTTTGCGCGCTCCAGGAGCGCCGAGAGGGTCGGCGCGACGACCGTGATGTGGCCGACCTTGCGTCCGGGCGAGATACCCGCCTTGCCGTACCAGTGGACGCTGGCACCGGGCACCGTCGCGGCGTGCGCAACGAGGTCCGTCGTCGCCTTCGGGTCGGCCGTGCCAAGGACGTTGAGCATCCAGGACGCGCCGACCTGCAGCGCGCAGCTGCCGAGCGGGATGCCAGCGACGGCGCGGACGTGGTTTTCAAACTGGTCCGTCTCGCACGCTTCGATCGTGTAGTGGCCCGAGTTGTGCGGGCGCGGCGCGATCTCGTTCAGCAGCAGCGTGTTCTCGGACGTCAAGAACATCTCGACGCCAAAGATCCCGTTGCCCGAGAGCGCGGCGACGACCTTGGTCGCCATGGCCGTCGCGGCCGCGTGGAGGCTGGCGTCCGGAAGCACGGCAGGGGCGAGGACCGTGTGGCAAATGTTGTTGGCCTGCGTCGTCTCGACGACCGGGTACGCGCGCACGTCGCCGCCTTGGCGCACAACCATGACCGCAAGCTCCTTCGTGAAGGGCACCCACTTCTCTGCGTAGAGCTTGCCAGCGCCCATGGTCGGAGCGAGCGCCGCGATCGCAGACGGAATGGCGGCCTCAGACGCGACGACCGCGTTGCCCTTGCCGTCGTACGACCAGTGGCGCGACTTGAGCATGAACGGGTACCCGTAGCGCGCGCCGGCCCCAACCGCATCGGCGGCCGAGTCGACGACCGTGAAGGGACCGAGCGGCACGTCGACGTCCCGACAAAACACCTTTTGCGCGTACTTGTCCTGGATGAGCGCGATCGTGTCGGGGCTCGGGTGGATCTGCAGCTTCGGGTGCGAGGCCTGCAGCGCGCGCAGCGTCTGCGCATTGACGTGCTCGATCTCGACCGTGAGCACGTCGACCTTGGCGGCGAGGGCCTCGATGGCGGCGGCGTCCGTGAACGCGCCCGCGACCGTTGACGTGACTTGGCCGGCCGGCGACGCGTCGCCCGCAGGGTCCAAGCACACGAGCTTGACGCCGAGGCGGTGCGCAGCGTAGCCCATCATGCGGCCGAGCTGGCCACCGCCCAGGCAGCCCACGGTCGGCGTGTTCGGAAGGCTCATGAGGACGAGGAATGAAATCGGAAAATGGAGCCGATGTGGCCAGGATGATCATGCAACACAATTGGCCGCCGGCGATGTGATGCGCAAAATAAAATACCGTTTTGCGTTGGCATTTAAATACTTGGTTTTTATTCGCCATACAAAGAAGCTGTGTAGACGCCAAATAGATAATAAATGACGTGCGAAAAAACACAAAAAATCCGGAAAGATCGGCCCAACCAGGATTATGCATCAATTCTGTATCCAACAGGTTTCAAACACTGTTTTGTTTGAGCCAATCAAAAGCCACCATTGCGTGTTTTAAACCATACCGTTGACGGGTGTTTGTACCCGACACGTTCCGAGTCGGCACCAACCATGCGAACTCGCGTCGATTGGCCAAAACAAATGCCGAAAATCAACCAATCCGCGCGATTTACAGGATCTTTTTTAACCAATGGACGGGGACCCTGGATTCCATTTTCACTCCACGCAACCATGCTGGAGCTCCAAGCTGCGCTCGACGACTTCTCTGGCCGGGACGACGAGGCCTACCACAGCGCGATGGAGCGGCTGCGCGCCCAGTACGTGGTCGTGACGCCGGGCCAGGTCATCACGAGCGAGCCCGGCTTCCTGCGCGGCCATGGCACGTACGTCGAGAACGGCGAGCTCCTCGCGTCCGTGGCCGGCGTCGTCGAGAAGGTCAACCAGCTCGTGAGCGTGCGCCCGCTCGTGAGCCGCTACATTGGCGAAGTCGGCGACATTGTAGTTGGGCGGATCTCGGAGGTCGCCAGCAAGCGCTGGAAGGTCGACATCAACGGCCAGCAAGACGCGGTCCTCATGCTCTCGTCGGTCAACTTGCCGGGCGGCGCGCAGCGGCGGCGCACGTACGAAGACCAGTTGCAGATGCGGTCGTTCTTTGAAGAGTCGGAGCTCATTAGCGCCGAAGTCCAGGAGGTCCGGTACGATGGCACGATGTGGCTGCATACGCGCTCGCTTCGGTACGGCAAGCTCGAGAACGGCCAGCTCATCGCCGTGCAGCCTGCGCTCGTGAAGCGGCTCAAGCAGCACATGCTTCAGCTGCCGATTGGCATTGACGTCATCCTTGGCTGCAACGGCTACATCTGGATCGCGCGGCGTATTGAGCACGACGCCGAGTCCCTCACGACCAACGAGTCGCGCGCCGACGTGTGGACCGAGCGCAAGGCGACGCACGCGGCGACGCCCACGGACGCGGCCGACCGCAAGAAGATCGCGGCCGTCTACAACGTCCTCGCGACGCTCAACGCGCAGTTCAAGACCATTACGCCCGAGAGCATCATGGAGCTCTACGAGCAGCAGGCCGCCGACGAGCACGCTTAAACCATAAACATCATCACATCATCTTCATCTTCCTTTGCTCAATGTACTCGCCTCCTGCGCCTCCAACCACGGCGGTCAGCGACGGCTAGTACCTAATCCTGCTGCGGCTCTGGTGTGCCAAGGAGGCGTGGGACCAGTAGCTTTGCTAGCCCGTTGCAGTGGCGTGGCGCAGAGCTGCGCGCGGACCAGGTCGGCTCGCCTGCGTCGTAGGCTGCCGACGCTGGCTGGCCGACGAGCCGTCTCTGCAAAAGGAACCTCGTGCCAAGAAGGTCGAATGGGTGCTTGGTCGGACCAGCTGGCGTCGTGCACCCCAGAATGTTGGTCGTTGCACCAGCCCAATCGAGCCAGGCACGACGCTAGCGGCCCGCTTGCATCATCCGTCCACGCAGGCAAGCTCTCAGCAGAGAACGGCGTGTCGTGGGTGTACACCGCATAGCGCAAGATGCTACACAACACCATGATCCAGCCCATGCCCGAGGTACGCCACCAAGGACAGGATGACGTATACGCGATGTGGCCGGAGCGCGATCGGGCCATCCTTGCCACTCGTGCCAACGCCGACAAGGTACGGACGTGCGAGGCGCGTGCGCGGCTGTGCTAACAGCGAGGATGTAGACGATGGCCCTCGGCGCAGCCTACCTCCCGGCCCACCTCGTTGTATGCGCACCGATGCATGCTATGGTGGTATCGTGGCTGACGTGGCAAGTAGGCATGCGAGACAGAGAACGCCATCGACGCGGTGGCTACCGACAGAGACACGATCGATGCGACCGACAGCGTCTGCCCTTTCTCTGGATGCCGATGGCTTCTGACGATGGCGTCTCGTAGGCGGGACACACCGCACTCATGCTTGCAGCGTCGACCCAGGAAGCGGAGCGACTCTTGCAGCTCGGTGCGGCCATCGACGTCCAAGATCATGTACTCTACCTCTCTCGACCCAGCTTGCTCAGCGTACGATGACTAGTTGGGACAGACGGCGCTGATGCTGGCCGCGACCGCCAACGACGTGGAGCGCACGCAGCTGCTGCTCTCGCACCACGCGAACGTCCATCTGCGAGACGCAGTACGAGCGCCTCGCCTTCTCGCATCAAACAGGAGTCAACGTTGTGTAGGAAGGGTCGACTGTGCTGCTGCGGTGCGCCGAGGCCAGCGCCGAGATCGTCGCGCTGCTCTTGGCCCACGGTGCGGACCCGGACGCAATCGACCGCGTACAGGCCGCCACGTCACTTCTCTCACAACTCAGTCTACGTGTCTAGGACGGCGACAACACTCTGATGCGCGCCGTGACGAGCCAGAACGTACCCGTCATCAAATCGCTGCTGCCGGTGACCAACGTCACTCACGCCAACCCCAAGGTCAGTAACTCCAAGCCAACTTCGCTCGCTCACTCCAAGATCGTAGAATGGCAACACCCTGTTGCACGTGGCAGCGTGGACAGGCCACAGCCGTCGGTCGCGCCTCCTGGGGTCGATCGCTGCCGTCTGCAACGTCAACGCCTGCAATCATGTACACTATCGTCCTCTTCTCGTATGTCGCTCGGACGCGGCGACTAGGCCGGTGAGACGCCGCTCCTCTACGCGCTCAGAACAGCCAAGGACGAGCAAGACCTCTTTGAGACCATCAACACGCTACTCGGCGCCGGCGCGTCCGTGCACACGCCGTGTCATGCTGTACATATATATATTATGGATGGACAAGTTGTCTCATCGGTGGTGGACAATGCTTTAGGGTGCGTCACCGTTTCTTATTGCGTGCCAGCGCGGGTTTGCAGCCGTGCTCTACGTCCTCGCCCAAGCGCGCGCCAACGTCAACCACAAAGATCACGTACTCCACCTCGCCTCTCGATACTTTGATACTTAAATCGATCGATGCGGCAGACGGGACGCACGGGGCTGCACCATGCGGTGGTGCGCGGCCATACGCAGAGCATTGACGTACTCGTGATCCTCTTCGACGTCGACGTCAACTGCGCGACGCCGGTACGTGCCGCTGTCATCCTGCCATCGCCGCCTCCGACAATATGTCGCGTAGACTGGCGACACGCCGCTTTTGCTCGCGAGCGCTGGCGGCAACAAGCACATGGTGCGCACGTTCCTGACCAAGCGGCGCATGGACCTCGCGCATGCCAACCTCGTACATCACTTTGTGGGGCAAGAGCATCTGATGGAAGCGAGCGTAGAACGGCGAGTCGGCGTTGCACGTCGCCTGCGCCGGGGGCCACGCAGCCGTCGTGCACGAGCTGCTCGCGTACGCCAGCCATTCGCTGCATGGGCGCGACAAGGTACGACATACGAGCGTGAGAGTGGCGTGAGAATAAGAACTGGGATGGTTGTAGCGCGGTCGCACGCCTTTTCTGACGGCGTGCGCGCGCGGGCACGTCTCGGTGCTCAAGACGCTCCTGCACACGGGGGCGATTGATGTACATCACTGCGATCACGTACGCAGTCTGGTGACGATGCTGGGTCTAAATCTGGTGTGAAAAATGTAGTCGGGCCAGTCGGGGCTGCTGCTGGCGAGTGCGAACGGCCACTTTGACGTTGTCCAGTGGTTTCTCGAGATACCGACCGTGCTCGCGACCGTCTGCAATCACGTAAGTATTTGCTGCGACATGAAGAATGTGGACAATTTGTCGTTAGATGGGTTACGAAGCGTTTCACGCGGCTGTGGTTGCCGGCCATGGCCCCGTCGCCGCGCTCCTCTTCCAGCTGCCGCTCGTCGCGATTGAAGCGGCTGCACGCGCGCTCGACGGCTAAGTGTAGTGTCAACTATTCTGTAATTTTCTGCATTTTGTGGCAAAGTGCCAGTTGATTGGGATTGTTAAATTTACTGGCGCGCCGCATAGAAAAAGAGAGGGAGAAAGTCATGGATCCTATTTATTTTGTCGCTTTTTTTTTCTTTTTTTTCGCTCTTTATATCAAGTTGATACCATTCATCGTAGGCATTTTGGCCCGACGTTCCACCGCGGGTCATGCGGACCTTGGTGCTTCGGGCGCCTCCTTGGGTGGCCAGCAGAGCTATCCAACTGCAGCAAGACTTTGGCCATTGAGTTTCCACAGAACGCTTCAATTGTGAGAGGTTTTGGGAGACCAGCTGCCATGATTACAATCTGGAACGGTGACCAAGAAGCCCAAGATGGGACTCACGACGTCACGGGCGGCGCCGGCCATCGACGCCGTCTTGCGCAACCAGGAGCTCTTGGCCGTCATCGCCTTGTATCAGCGCGGCCTGCCCGAGAGCCTCGCACCGCTCGTGCCCGGGCTGCGGCGCATGGCCCAACGCCCAAAGCAACGGATCACGACCACCGACCCTGACCTCGACGCACGCTTCCGCACGTGGCAATCAGCTCACAGCGTCGAGGAGCTCGCGCCTCTGATGCGCAACAGCACGCTACAGACCGGGCTGCGGCGCTTCGCCCTTCTTCACGGCCATCTCGAAGTCGTCGCCTTTGTCGCTGCGGCCACGCGCGTCGTCGACTGGGACTGGCACATGGCAGCGTCGAATGGCCACACGTCGGTGCTCGACTGGCTCGAAGCGAGTGGCGAGCCGCATCCGCGTGGCCTCATGGAGTGCGGCGTCAGCAACAACCAGCTGGCCGTTGTCATCTGGGCGCACACGCGGCAGCTCGATGTCGCGCTCAATCTGCGCACCGTGGCGGCCGAGCAAGGGTATCTCGAGATTCTGAGGTACTTGGACGCGCATTCGCTGAGCAGCTGGGACCCGATAGCCGTCTCGATCGCCGCCGAGCGCGGTCATCTCGACGTACTTGGCTTCCTGCACGCCAAGCAGTATGCCGGGACGCGACCCGTCACCGCAGACAGGCGTTCCGAGTGGGGTTCCGAGTGGGGAAATTGAAATGTGCATAGATGTATAGCCTTTAACATTAAAGAGAGAAGTGTTTCACGGACGCTTTGTGTAGCAACCACTTGCAGATATGTACGAGAGACGAGTAGTCGTATTCTTCTCCTTGACTCGCTGCATTCGGGGCCATGTGTTGCTCATCTGACGTCGTTTGGCGGCTCGGACGACGCACTAGATGGGCTCCTTTCAAGCGTCGCGGTCTACATCGTTTTCAGAGATAGTTGAGAGACAGTGGCGTACGACATATTCCTCCTGCTTCGGTCCAGGACGGAGACCCTACCCCTTTCATCGGATCGCCAGCGTCCGGAGCGAAACAAACGACAACAATCGACAAGCTTGGGTGATTACGACTAGAATTCGATACAACATACTTGCAGGCCGTGTCAACTCTCTAAGATTGGGAGGAAGTAGAATGGAGTGCGCACGGTAGTGTGCCTTTGAGGTTGGCCAATTGAGATTGCTTGGGCGGCAGCGTCGCCCGCTGGAGCCGCTTGCTCCAGATCTGCAATTCGCGCTCGCTCGAGCAAAGCGGCTCGTCGCAGTCGACGCAGTGGTCGGCCAGCGCCGCGTTCACTGCATAGCACCATCTCGTGGGCGGATGCGTAGACCGATACGTAACCGCCACGTTCACGACGGACCCTACCCCTACCATCGTATTCGCACGAGTTTGGCGTCACGAATTATAACTATATAGTACGGATCCAACTATATAACTATAACTACACACGACTAGAGTGTCCTTACAACAAGAATCGCGCATCGAGACGCGCTACTAGAACATATAAATAACAGCAGGGTCTTCAACAAATAAAGTTTGAGAGGACCCGAGACCGCGCTTGCTACAGTATCGAAAACACGTGCTTGCGCGCATGGGGAACGAAGCCGGGTGCGCCCTCCTGAAAGGGTACGAGGAGCTCAATGCGCCTGTAGGAAGCCCTCGTTGAAGAAGCGCTTTACGCTTGTACGTGCTCGCAGGGCCTCCATGTCGCTGTGTCTGAGTGGCATCTGCAGGGTAATAGCAAGGGCAGTGCAGATGACGCGCTGATCGCCGCTGTTTTCAACGACGACTTTGCCACGTTGGTTGCCTTGCTCAAGGCCGGCGCGAACCCCAACCACCGCGACGCTCAGGTTTACCGCGAAACCGACAAGATTGTACATAACGACGACGTAGCTGGGCGGGACGCCGCTGTTCCTCGCCGCCGCCATGAATAGGGATCCAACCATGATCGACGCGCTTCTTCGCGCGTCCGCCGACGTCAACTTCCAGCACAAGGTGCGTCGTGCGAGCCAGCCAGCGCAAAATTGTCGTCCTGTGATGTGTAGACCGGGAACACGGCGCTGCACGTAGCGGCGCAGGAAGGCGCGTTGGGCAATCTGTCGTTGCTGCTGGCCGCCAACGCGAGTCTCAACGTCACCGACGAGGTACGACGGGATATCAACCAATGGCTCGGTGGTTGATGGGCCTAGTCGGGACGCACGCCGCTGCACGACGCCGCCGAGCTCGGGCACCTCGAAGCGTGCCAGCGGCTTGTCGAAGCCGGCGCGCTCCTCAACGTCACCAACAATGTACGTTCATTCTAGAATGCAGCGTCTTCATGGCGGGTGGTAGAATGGCGAGACGCCGCTCTTTGTTGCGACGCGCAAAGGCGAGATGCGCGTCGTCCAGTACCTGCTCAACGACCTCCGCGTGCGCGTCGACGCTGTTGCCAACGTAGTTTGAGATTGCACTTGACAAGGGACACACAGGCGGCGCTAGGACGGCAACACGCCCTTGTGTGTGGCGATATCGACCATGAAGGCGAGTGTCGTGGACCTGTACATCCGCCGCGGCGCCAACATCAACCACCAAGGCAAGGTACGTTCACTGCGTTCCACTAGCCAGAGTGTCGAGGCGCTCTGTACGATGCAGGAAGGCATGACACCGCTGTGTGTCGCAGCGTCGGTCCAGGACGCAGATAGCGTCCGACTCTTGCTCCAGTATGGTCCCGACGTCGACTGCTGCTGCAGCGTACTGTGCCAGCCTGTCATTCACGCCTCACACGTCGAGTAGAAGGGCATGAGTCCGCTGAGCTACGCGTCGATGCATGGAGATACGGCGATCGTGCGTCTTCTCTTGGACGCCAACGCGACTGTGCTAAGGGCCGATGTACCGGTACGTACTTGCATCTTGCGGCTGCCATTGAGAGACATGTAGCCCGGGTGCACGGCGCTGGAGATGGCCAAGAAGGGCGGGCACCATGACGTGGTCCAGATGTTGATGCTAGCAGCGGACAAGCACCTTGAGGCATTTCTATCCCTCGAGGAGGTGATCTTAGTGCTGATTAGGTCAAGGCGCCGTCGTTCGAGGCAACGTTGTCCGAGCGACTCAAGCGCCTCTGCCAGCCCAAGGAAGAAGACATGTCCGAGCTCTGTCAGCGCCTCTGCAGCAGCGTGCCCTCTCCGGTGGACTTTGGAACCGAGAGCGAGCGTAACCCGGTACACGATACAGTCCATGACGAGACGCATGGACGCGGCGCGTAGAGTGGACCTGACCTTATGGCCGAGCAGCTGCAGCGTCTTCGCGCCGCGTTCAATGACAAAGCCCAGGTACGCGTCGTCTCTGCTGTGCCGTAACACTGTCGTATTCTAGTCACGCCTCCAGTCCGACTTGGTGCGGGCCGTCGACAAGGACTTGACTGCGACGGCAGAACACGCGCTCCAGGCAGGCGCCGACCCCAACGTTGTCGATAGCGTACGTACGCATAACACAAGGGACAATTTGTCCTTAAATTTGACTAGACCCACGGCGTCCTCCTCTGCCGCGCGGCGCTTCAAGGCTCGGTCCCGATGGTCGACGTCCTCCTCACCGCTGGCGCCAAAGTCAACGCCACAGCCAGCGTACGCCCCGCTCTGTGGCCGCGATTGTTTCAGTGTATCAAGTGCAGGACGGACACTCGGCGCTGATGCAAGCAGTCTTGGGCCAGCACGAGCGCGTCATCGAGCGACTGATCAAGGCGCACGCCGATGTGAACCAGCCCACTGCGGTGCGTCCGACGGCAGCGCATTCAGTTGGCATCGACGAGCGTAGGGTGGGTGCTGCCCTCTGTACGCCGCCGCGAGCTACGGCTACGACGCCATCGTGCGCAAACTGGTGGCAGCCGGCGCCGACGTCAACCAGTGCAACCAAGTACACGGCCGAGAATCTCCGATCGTAGCTCACACATTTCACTGCAGGCGTACTGGCCGCCGCTGCTTGTGAGTGTGCATGGCGGCCACGCCGGCATCGTCGAGACATTACTCAACGCTGGCGCCAACCGCTTGGCCGTCACCCACGTACGCTGTCTTTTCTACGAGGTCGACGAATGAGGACGCAATATGTCCTTAGACCAACGAGACGGCGATGGATATCGCTAAACGATGCCAGCGGAAGGACCTTCTGGCCTTGCTCGAGGCGCCGCCGGTACAGTACGACCACGTCTCCCGACACTCTATTGGTGGGTAGGAGCTGTTCGACGCGGTCCAGAGCAGTGACGTTTACCGCGTCATAGCCTGTCTGCGCCGCGGCGACGACCCCAACATGCGCAGAGCGGTACGCCAATTTTGACATTTCTGCTTGTCGACACCAAGTTGAAGGATGGGACGCCGCTGCTTCACGTGGCCGTGCGCCGCGGGGATCGTGACGTCCTCAGCGCGCTTCTCCTCAGCAAGGGCCTCTTGATCGACCAGACAAATGCGGTGAGCTCAAATTCCGTAGGTAGTCTAGATGTAGGCTATGACTACTAGGCCGGCGAGACGGCCCTTGTGTACGCCACCGCCACGGCCAGGCGCGCCATGGCCGATGCGATCCAAGCCGAGTGTCTCCGACGTGGCCAACCGGTAGCGTCCTTCTGCATCCTGCCTGACACTCTGCAAGAGAAACTAGCTTGCCCCACAAGCGCTGCCACGTGACGTGGCGTCGGACCCTAGCCCTAGCCCTAGCCCTAGCCCTGCCCCGCCCGTCATCAAAGAAGTCGTGTCGACGCTCGTGGTTGCGTCGAGTGCAGAAGATGATGCGCCAGCAACCAGCACACCAGATGCACTCGATCCGGTACGTATTCGTATTTGTGTACAACATGTCGTTAGCATCCATCGATAGACAATCGCGCTCTTCAACGCATTGCGCGCTGGCCAGCGAGACATCGCGTTGGCGTTGTACGCTGCGACGTACACGGCCCCGATCGAAGTTCGCCCTCGCTTCGTTTTCCTTGATAAACAATATTGCCTGTAGGTTAATGACGACGACTATACGGTTTTGCCGACCATCTTGGGCACCGGGGGCTTTGCCGTCGTGTACGCGGGGACCTTTCGTGGCCAAGACGTGGCCGTCAAGCGACTCGTGCGGCGCTACCACCATAACCACAGCCGCACGTGGCAGGACGAGGTCAACGCCAACGTCCGGTACACACCGCATCTCGCTTTCTCGAGCTGTATCAATGTTTCAACCTAGCTGTCCGTCGCCGTACATTGTGCAACTGCTCGCGCTTTCGTCGTCGTCGGCCACGCACCAAGACTTGGTCTTCGAACGCATGGACGCAGGCGACCTCTTTACGCTCTTGCGGCAGAAGCAGCGCCTCGGTACGCAGCTGCCGTACAATGACGTGGCGATCGCATACGCCGTGGCGAGTGCGCTCTGCGATCTGCACAGCCGCCGCCTCGTGCACCTCGACCTCAAGAGCGCCAACGTGCTGCTCTGCTCGAGAGGATTTGTCAAGGTCGCAGACCTCGGCCTCGCGTGCGAGAACGACAGCCACACAAAGACGGCGGAGAAGGGCACGATCGGCTACATTGCGCCCGAAGTGTGGGTCGGTGGCAAGTACGGCGCGGCCGCCGACGTCTACTCGCTCGGCGTCCTCCTCATCGAGCTCTGCACGCTCGACCGGCCATTTCCAGAGCTGACCAAGGCTTTTGACGTCTACCGCGCGGTCGTCAACGAGCGCCGGTGCCCCGAGCTCCCGAAACACGTCAAGCCGTGGCTGCGACGCCTCACCGAAGCCTGCCTCTCGTACGACCCGCGCGACCGACCGTCCGCAAATGAGGTTGCGACCTGCCTCTACGAGCATCTCGAGGATGATGCCTCTGACGAGCCCACCGTCGACGTCGCTCCCGAGTCCGCGCCAACAGAAGAGTCCGCGACAACAAAAGAGCCCATACCAACAGACGAGCCTGCGCCAACAGACGAGCCCGCGCCAGAGCCGACGGCCAAGGTGTCAGTGGAAACAACGCCCAATGACCGACCTCTCGAGGTAACCCTACCCCTTGACCTACCCCTGCTGACCGTTGAGCAGAACGACGTGGTGAGCGTGCGCTGTGTCGTGTGTGATGCGACCCACAGCTTCTTGCAGACGCACTGCGACTTGTGCGGCGAGGCGCTGCCGGATGCCAGTGTGAAGCTCCGCGTCGTCGTGCGTCGTCTGAGCCAGCAGTCGAGTCGCGTCGACACGAGCATGCGTTGTGAGTGGTGCTATGCAGTAAACGCGGCGCTGGCCGACCACTGCGTCGACTGCGACGAGCCGCTCTGCTCAAGCGAGCGCAAACTGCAGATCTTGAGCAAGCGGCTCCAGCGCGCGACGCTGTCTGCTTAGCTCTCTTGTCCGTTCCACGTAGCAAGTACCTTTGTTTCAAGTTTTCAAAGAACATTCGTGTGGTGTCAAGTCCT